AAAAGGCATTTGACAAAGTGCCACACAAAAGGCTATTGCACAAGGTTAAGGCCTATGGGATTAATGGGAACATATCAGCATGGATTGAAGAGTGGCTAACGGGTAGAAAACAGGGAGTAGGGATAAACGGGTCATTCTCAAATTGGCAGGATGTGACTAGTGGAGTGCCACAAGGATCAGAGCTTGGGCCTCAGCTATTTACAATTTATATCAATGATCCAGACGAGGACATTGAATGTAAGGTATCTAAATTCGCGGATGACACTAAACTCGGTGGGAGAGTAAAGCTCTGAGGATGACGCAAAAAGATTGCAATAGGATATAGATAGGCTCGGGAAGTGGGCGAGTAGGTGGCAGATGGAATTTAATGTGGGGAAGTGTGAAGTTATTCACCTAGGTAGAAAAAATAGAAAAACATCTTCAAGGCTGAGACTGATAGATTTTTAAAAAACAGAGGGATTAAGGGATATGGGAATAGGACAGGTAATTACAGTCAGGTCTGAAGATCAGCCATGATCTTATTGAATGGCAGGGCAGGCTCGAGGGGCCAAATGGCCTACTCCTGCTCCTAATTCTTATGTTCTTATGAAAGCAACTTTTTGCTGCAAAGCGTGGACACATCCAACGCTGTACGTATATTTTTTTTCATTAATCTGTTGAATAAAATGTTGATATGAATGACCCCATTACTTGGTACTGTTATTACTGCTGTATATTCAGCTCAAATGACACTAAACTCTAAACGCCAACAACAACAGCAACAACTTGCATTTTTAAATACATTCATTTCTGGGCATCGCCCTTTAGGCATTGGAGAGGGTGCAAAGTAGGTTTACCAGGATGGTACCAAGAATGAAGGACTTTAGTTATGAGGAGAGGGAAGCGAAACTAGGATTATTCTCCCTAGAGCAGAGAAGATTGGACTGGGAAAAATTGTTTCCACTGTCATGTGGGTCAGTAACCTGAGGACACCGATTTACGATAGTTGTTAAAAGAAACAGAGGGGAGTTTGGAAAAAAAATTTCACCCAGCGAGTTGTTGGGATCTGGAATGCATTACCTGAAAGGGTAGTGGAAGCCGATTCAATAACGACTTTTAAGAGAGAAGTAGATGGGTATTTGGGGAGGACAGGATTGCAGGGCTATGCTGCAAAAGCGGGCCAACGGGATTGAGCTGGAAGCTCTTTTCGGAGCCGGCGCAGAAGCGATGGGCCAAATGACCTCTTTCTGTGCTGTCTGATTATATGATTCTATGATAAAGTGCTCTTCACATAGAACAATGTCTCAAAGTGCTTTTGTCCTGAGCGTTGCCTTTTATTGTACAAAGATAACACAATATCTTCAGCAATGTGTAGCAATGACCTTTTTTGTTAAAAAATCAACTCGCTAAATTAAAGTTACACATAAAATCTTCCATTACACAATTTGGTCAGAAACAATCCCATTTTGGTTCATTTATAAACGATTTGGTTTCAACCGAAACATTTGCCGTCATTGTCCAGAATCATTTGAATGTGGCACCGAAACCAACGTTTATTTAAAACAATTTTATGTCCTTTAATCTTTGCAGCTGGTTTACATACATGCCCAAAATTAGCTGTGCAGCAAAGATGGCCATTATAAATGTTAACACAAAGCCAAGTATACATACACTAAAAAGATTATTTTGGTTCCTGGTCTTTGTCAGATTGAGTACAATCCTGTCTTTTCCTTATTCACCTAGTTTAAAAAAAACACAGTTAGTGCTCCACAATTACTTAGCATCAACTTCTCAAATGCCCTCTTTGCCGATCTCCCCAGTTCCCCATGCACAGATTTCCAGCTGATCCAAAACTCCACTGCCTGCATACTCACCCGCACTGAACTCTGTACCCCCAATACACCGGTTTTAGCAAGGCTCCATTGGCTCCCTATCACACACACTAAACTCCATACACCCATCACACCAGTCCTCGCGAGGCTCCAAGTCTCCCTATCACCGAACAGATCGATTTCAAGATCCTCACGCTTGTTTTCAAATCCCTTCATGCCCTGGCCCTTCCCTACCTCTCCCACCTGCTTACTCCCCAACCCGATACCCGCTGCCTCCACACGACTGGCTCCAGGCTCCTGCATGTCCCTCGTGCCCTCCGTTCCACTATCGGTGGCCACGCTTTCAGCCACTACCCTCTGAATCTCTGGAACACTATTCCTCTATCCCTCCTCCTTCCGCATCTTCAAGTCACGCCTGAAGACCTTCCTCTTTGACCAGTGCCTACAGTCACCTTCCCCCACTCCCCCTGGCTCGACGTCGTGCTCCGTCTTCTGTCAAGCACATTGGAATGCTGCACTGCTGTAGCATGAGCGAAAAACATTGTAAAGTGTAGTGACTGTCTAATTTTTAGGTGAATGCAGCAGCCATTTTGTGCACAGCAATGTCCCGCAAAAAGCCGTAGTGTAGTGAGAGCTTTAAGACGCCTTGTGATTTTCAAACTACTTTTAATTAATTTCTGCTTGTATTTAAATATTAACCAGTGTCTTGTTGTTATTGAGTCTTTGGCTGATTTCTGCAAGAGACCAAATCCATACAACGTGAAAACAGGAGTGAGATTATTCAGGGATTTATTGTTGTAGTACACTTTGCTCAACGGTAGGTGTCGTGAGTTATAGTCAGTGAGTGGAGCTTGTAAATATTATTGTGGTATCATAAATAAATTTAGACAGACTTCTCAATGGATTGCAAACCCTGGTAATTCTTACACATGATTCCTGAACCCAATCTCCCACCACCTCCTGCTCGGGTCCAAATCCCTGACTGTCCAGCGCCTTGGGATGTCCTTCCGATGTAAAAGGAGCCCTACAAATGTAATTCTGTTTTGTATTATATTAATGATCTGATCGATTCACAAAACGAGGACAAACGTACCTGGGCTATGCTAGGGCTCACTATCTGAAGAAAAGATAAATAGTTTTGAAACGTTTTGAATCAAGAAAAAAACAGCGAATAAATAGTAATAATGATAAATAATCCTTACATTTGATATAGCACCTTTCATGTTGGGTGGACGTCCCAAAGCGTTTCGCGGGATATACTGTGAAGTGTAGTAACTATATTTTGTAGGCAAACTGAAACTATTTCAAGTTAAATCACCTATCATATAACGTAGAACCATAGAAATTTATGACACAAATGAAACCCGTTTGGCAAATCCTGAATGGAGTTGAGGTACAGATGAGCCATGATTTAATAGAATGGCAGAACAGCTCAAGGGGCTGAATGGTTTATGATAATAATAATCCTCGCCTTTGATATGGCGCCTTATAATGTCTTTGAGACGTCTCAAAGGGCTTCACAGAATATACTGTAAAAAGAATTAACTGTATAGTGTGTGGTGCAAACGCGGCAGCCAATTGCGCAGAGCGTCCCGCAAACAGTCGTGGATTGAGTGACCAAATATTTTTTTTAACTCCTTTTCTTTTCCTATATTCATCTCAAAGCATTTTACAGAGAGGTTGCTGGGCTCTGAGCAGAGAGAGTGGGGTGGAGAGAGCAAGGGGGAGGAGGCTAATGACCATTCTGTTGTTTTATTGCACTATTTATAAATGTGCCTGTTGCAAATGAAAGTGCTGTATGAATCTATTGCTGAACTGCGTCTGTGATAAATGAGAACACCAATGTACTTCGAGTAGCTATTTAGGATCAGGGTTGCAGGGGAAAGAAAGGACACCATAAAACCATGAAATTTATATGAACACCAAAAATAATAAGATCATTCAATTTGTTTTATTGCTCTCTATTCATCCATGAAGGAATTCACTGCATGTATTATTAGATTATTATCATAAATAAATGGGTTTGGCTTCTTACATATGAATAAGTGCTGAATATGTTCATTGAAGAATAATAATAATAATCCCTGTGTTTGATATAGTGACTTTCATGTCTGGGAGATGTCTCAAAGCGCTTCACATCATGTACCGTAATGTCACAGGAATGACTGAGAAAAGCTAAGAAAATAATAATATATAATATACAGAGCTCAGCTATAATATAACAATAATATAATCCTTTCATTTGATATAGCGTCTTATCACTTCTTCGAGACGTCTCAAAGCCCTTCACAGAATATGCTGTAAAGTCAATTGAATGTATATTTTTGTGGGCGAAACGCGGCAGTCAATTGCGTACAGCAGGTTCCCACAAACAGTCGCGGATTGAGTAACCAATTTTTAACTTTTTTTAAAGGAATTATCATCCCCAGAAAAGCTATCTGCCAATCGACCAACAACCAGGTTGCTACTTACTGCTGGGTAAACAAAGGCGTGTGGAGTAAGGAAACTTGCCCAACATTTCGCCCTGCCGGGAATCGAACCCAGGTCTCTTGCTTGGGAGGTGAGTGCTCTAAGATGAGCTACAGGACTCCATTTAAAATAGACTGAAACGAAACCCAGGCTGAATCTCTCCTCTCAAATGGGATGCATAATCATTGACTGTGCTTGGTAGCTTTCTGAATCATATTTGCTGCAAAAATAATTTTCTTCCTGTTTACATTTAATGCCCTAGCTTTTGGGAATGGTGACATTAGGGCAGAGTGCTCGCTCAATCTCATTCTCTTTTGTGACCAAACATTGCAATCAATATTTCTTATTAAAATGTACCAATTCAAATGCATATTAAACATTAGGAAAGAAAGGGGAAGTGTACAAATATATAGAACACTCCCCAAATATAGAATTTGGGTGCGAACCCCAACACTTGCTCATCAAAAAAGTCGTCTCACTTCCCACGTACAACTCCTGTAGCTCAATGGTTAGAGCACTCGCCTCGCAAACGGGAGGTCCTGGATTCGATTCCCGGCAGGGCAAAATGTTGGACAAGTTTCCTTACTTTACAGGTCTTTATTTACCAAGCAGTAAGTAGGAACCCAGTTGTTAGTCGATTGGCAGACTGTTTTCCCCCTATTTTCAAAAAAAATTATAATTTGGTCACTCAATATATTCTCTGAAGCGCTTTGAGATGTCTTAAAGACATAAGGAGCGATATCAAATGCTATTATTGTTATGATTGTCATATTATTATGAAAGAATGGCCGATTTCCAGGTCACCAGGTTGCAGCTGACATGACTTCCTGTACTTTGCGTTTGAGCTGAAATCAGTGCAGAAGTGCTGATTGGTAATAACATCAACAATTACGGCCTCTTTATAGGGTGACTTGGGAATTATACAGAACTCACGTCTCCCCAACAATCGGATTATAACGGGGCAGTACTGCGTGTCAAAGAACAACAATGACAACAACAAGTTACACTTGTACTGCACCCTTCATGTTGGAAAGACGTCCCCGGGCTCTGGGGTCCTGTGTTAAAGCCGGTACTGGATCCCATATTTCTGCTATGGCGAGAAACAGAGAAACTCATTGCTGAGTCTGGATAAGAGGCACTCGGGAACTATCGAAGTCACAGGAGGAAAGTGGGGGAACTCTTTGTCCAGTTCTGACGTTGAACATCGGCAGAGTGGAGAGAGGCTGTGGCACATCACGGGCTTTGGCCATTTGCCTGAGTTCATTGGTGTTGCCTTGAATTGAGTGATGATGAACAAGTTGGATGCTAAAAGACAAAGGGTACAATGTTAACGGCCTCCGCTTAGTCCGTCCACAGAACCGTAACTATAACCTGTGTTACAATACAATACCATTACCATTTATACAGCAATAGGAGGGCATCGCAAAGAGCTTCAGCGTTGTTGGCTGAGCACCTGAGCTGGAGGTGGTGGGAGCTGAAGAGGGTGGGGGTGCAGATGGGAAAGACGACCGAAAACGGTACATCTCGATATAAGACCCCCGAATGAGGGGAAGGGCTGTGTCAGAGGGACTCTGCGATAGAGCTTCACACAAACGGTGGATTTAAAATCGTTATCGGGAAGAAATCACAAGACGCGACACAAACGAGACGGAAAACAGCGCAGTTGCTCAATTGGGAGCGAAAGGTTGTCAACTTACTCTGATGTCTTGGTGTCTCTTCTTTCTCTGGGAATATAGCGAGAAAGGCAAATATATCAGGAGTTCAAACCAAATAGAAACCGCAAAATGATTTCAGTCATCAACGAACAGCGCAGTGCACAACACACACATTACACCAACAGCGCCAACAGTACTGATGCGGAAAAACCATCCGCAGCGCTTCACAACGGTGGAGTCAAACATCAAAAGCTCAGAGGAAATCGGGAGGACCGTCAGCGTGAAGGTAAAAGGGGAAGGAATTTAGAAAGGGGATAAAAACAGATGGCGAGACGGAGAGGGATGGGGGGAAAGCTCAGGAGGTAATTAAAGGGAAATTTAATATGCCCATATGATACTTTAAATAACTTCCAAAGAGACGTACTGTAACCTAACACTACATTCCTGCTGATAACATTTTAAGAAGCCATTTCAGTTTAATAGAACTCACCGCTTCACTTAAATCGTTACTTTCCATTAAACGTGTTAAGTGCCTGCAGTTAATTCCAATATCAACCCCATCCCCACAACGTGGACACAACTGACACATCTCGTTTTGTGGTAGAGATTTAACAAGTCAGAAAATTTTTAATGCTGACGGATTAATAGGAGCAATTAAGCCAATTATTTCATCTTGAATCCATCCAGCTGAAACCCGCAACAGTTTGTGAATTGATATTTGGTGGCTTTACTGAATGACAGGTGGAGTCCTGTAGCTCAGTGGTTAGAGCACTCGTCTCGCAAGCGAGAGACCTGGGTTTGATTCCCGGCAGTGCGAAACCTTGGGCAAGTTCCCTTACTCCACACATCTCATAATAATCCCTCAAGAAAAAAACCCAAAAATAATAATTTGGTCACTCAATCCATGACTGTTTAGGGACACTGCTTGGCTGCTGCTTTTCACCCACAAAATATGCAGTCTTTACAGTATATTCTGTGAAGCACTTTGAGACGTCTTGAAGATGTGAAAAGACGCTATATGAAATGCAAGAATTACTTTACAGGACTATATTACTGTCCCGGCCTTTTTTTAGTTCTGAATTTGAGACTTTAAACTCTTTTATTTGCACATTACTTTGATTCTTTTGTCAGCCTGGCTCGGTTGGTGGCGCTCTTGCTTCGGAGTCAGAAGGTTCTGGGTTCGAGCCCCCACGTCGGGACTTGGAACTCATGTAGCGGTCCAGTGCAGCGGTCATGTCAGAGGTGCCATCCTTCATGTGGTCATTAAAGATCCTATGAAAACTATTCAAAATGTGAAGCGAGTTTCTCCGGTGTCTGGCCAATCACCAGCTGTTTGTAGGACGCTGCCATGCACAAATCGCCTTCTTCCAGAAAACGCCAAGTTATACCATCAAAAAACCATGTCATATGTGGCATGTAAAATAATAATCCTTGCATTTGATACGGCGCCTTATCACGTCCTTGAGACGTCTCAAAGTGCTTCACAGAATATACTGTGAAGTGAATTGACTGCATAGCTTGTGGGCGAAACGTGGCAGCCAATTGCGCACGGCAGTGTCCCACAAACAGCTGTGGATTGAGTGACCAAATGATTATTATTATTGTTGTAATTTTTGATATCACACATCATGTGATATCATGCGTGATGTCACGGGAGAAGTTTAAAAATCCTAACAGTGGCACAGGCAGCAATCGAGGGGTTAAACGATCAAACCAACACTGCGGGTGAAGGAGGAAAAACATTCAAAGGAAACTCACAGTCCCTCTCGACGGCAATACATTATGTAGGCGAGAAGTAGAAACAGAAGCACAGCAATAGCTAAGGGGACAGCGATTGTCACCGCATAGTCTGAATATAAGTCTCGTCCTTCCAGGGAGCTGGAAGGTGGTTCATACTCTCCGCCCTCTAGGACTCCATCACCAGGAATCACGTCAGTGTCAGGCTGTTCGGGTTTGCTTTTATCAAACTGTGAAATACAGTAATGCACGGCACGTCAACTTTTTTTGTACAATGGCTTCAACATTCGAATCCTTCTGCCAGCGTGTCCTTCCCCGCACCACCCCCCCCACACACAGCGCTATTCAAAGAGAGAAAGGAGTTTCTCTCTCCCAGTGCCCTGACCAACAATCCACCCCACCAAATAAATTTGTTGTCGCTCATTCACTCCACAACTGTTTGTAGGACATTGCTGTGCGCAATTGGCTGCCGCGTTTCGCTCACAAAATACACAGTCAATTCGCTTTACAGTATATCCTGTGAAGCGTCGTTGAGACATGAAGCCTTATTGCATCCCAACGACGTGATGAGTCATTATATCAAATGCAAGGATTATTATTATTTTTATTATTATTACTTCTGTGACCTGGTCACTCCCTCCATTCGGCTAGTTTCTTTATTAATAATAGAAGGAAACCTAGACAGATATCTATTTGACCTTTACTGATTTAACTAGTTGTTAAGACGATTCCCTCCTATCTCTCTCTGTGACCCAGTGGTATGACCTACCAATACAATTTTGCACCAGTCAAGAATGAAGTGAGGACTGAAGTAATCCTCACAGCTCGTGGGGTCCAGATTCTCGTCACACAGCTTGTCAGGGTCCGTTTCCTCCTTCAGACAATCGGGAAAGGGAACAGCAGATCCCACTTTTATGTAAACCCTGGGAAACAAGCATTCCGCATCATACAATGTCAAATGCATTTGTACTCTGGAGTCCTGTAGCATAATGTAGCAAGTGAGAGGACTCAGGTTCGATTCCTGGCTAGGGCGATACCTTAGGCAAATTTCCTTACTCCACACGCTTCTGTTTACCTAGCAATAATCCCTTCAAAAAAATATATTTGGTTGCTCAATCCACGATGATTTGTGGGACGCTGCTGTGCGCAATTGGCTGCTGTTTTTCGCCCCAAAATATACAGTCAATTCACTTTACAGCATATTCTGTGAAGCGCTTTGAGACTTCTCGAAGGCATGATAAGGCGCTGTATGAAATGCAAGGATTATTATTGTTATAAGACAGTGGAACAAGGGAACACAGGTTTAGAGTTTTAAAGGGCATTTTCAGGACAGACAGGAAATATTTCTTTATCCAGAGTGCAATTAACTATTGGGAGAGGTTGTCGGAAAGGGTGGCTGAGGCCAGGACACTGGATTCATTTGAAGAAACAGCTTGATGGTGTGATGTAGGAGAGGGGGCATTCTGGACAGATGAGATCAAATGGACCCGAAGGGCCATCTTTATCTTAACAAATCTTGTGATTTTGTGATCTTGGCTGAAAGTTTAAGAGTTTGAAACTCAGTTCAGAATTAACAGGCATTTTGACTGAATAATACACTATTTGCCAATGGGTCACACATGTTAAGCACATCTCTTGTTTCTCTTCTGCACCACCTAAAGTACAGTGGAAGCCGGTTTAGCCAGACATATCGGGGATGGACGTTTTGTCCGACTTAAGAGGTGTCCGAGGTTAGCTGAAATATCGTTCTGCCCAGCATGGGAGTACCGCAGACAGTGTATAATAATATGTAATAATGTTGTTTCACTTTAAGCAATGTTAACTGACCGGTTCAAGTTAAAATACTCTCACAGAAACGCAATAAAATATATTTAACTTTGTACTTTCCTACCCAGCAGAGGAGATTCCTCCCTCCCTGTTGCCATTTCCGTTGGAATTAGCAATTAACAGTGACGTTGATGTGATTGACAGCCTTGTGAATGGACAACCCACTCACTCACAAGCGGCTCAGCTGTCAATCAATCGCAATTTGACTCCTCCCATTCCCTTTTTCTTTCTCCGAACTCCACTGCCCCCCCAGCCCCCACCCCTCATTGATTGACAGCCCAACTCCAGCTGCTTGTGAATGGCTGGAGTTCGCTGTCAATCAATTGCAATTTCACTCCTGCCATTAACATCCGGGAAACCCCAATGGCTGAAGGCTCGACACGCAGAAGGCCCGAGTGAGTAAATTCAGCAGCGACAGTGGGGCATTTTGCCCGGATTCTTGGCCGAATTAACCGGCATATTTAATACAAGTGAACCGGGTGGGGGGTGCGCTGGCGTTTTGTTCGATTTACCCGACGTCCGAGCTTAACCAGCATCCGGCTAAAGAGGATTCCTTCATGTATTTCATTCACTAAGTGGCTACCTTAAATATTACCTTAAATATTACCTTAAATATTACACTTAAATGTACAGCTGCAAATGTAATAATCCTTAACATTTCATACAGTGCTTTATCACGTCACTGAAACGTCACAAATTCTCTCACAGGATTTACTGTAAAATGTGTCTACGCAACACCCTTGTGGAGCCTGTAGCTCAGTGGTTAGAGCACTCGCTTTGCAAGTGAGAGACCTGAGTTCAATTCCAGGCAGAGGGCGAAACCTTGGGCAAGTTTCCTTACTCCACAGAGAGCCTAATAATAATCCCTCCAAAACCAAAAACAATAATAAATTGGTCATTTTCAATCCACGACTGTTTGTGGGACATTGCTGTGCGCAATTGGCTGCCGCATTCGCCCACAAATATACAGTCAATTCACTTTACAGTGTGTTCTGTGAAGCGCTTTGGGACGTCCTCCCGACGTGAAAAGCTCTATATCAAATGCAAGGATTATTATTATTATTTGTAGGTATTTGGCCCATGCGTTATTTGCTAAGAGAAGGGAGTTTCTCTCCCTGTGTCCTGGCCAATGGATAAATCTGGTCATTCACTGTATGGCTGTTTATGGGATATTGCTGTGTGCAAACTGGCTGTCGTTTTCGTGGCATACAGTAAATCCTGCGAAGTGTGATAATGTGCTCCATCAAACACGTGGTTTATTATTACATACTCACAGTCACACAACAATAAAATAAATACTGTGAAGCACTTTGAGGCGTTTTGATAATCAGGCTCTGCATCAAATGCAAAGATTACTATCAATGCAACAGCAACGACAACTTGCATTTATATAGTGACCCTTTATGTAGGGTAGAGTCTCTGAGCATTATTTATTTGCAATAAAATATAGACAAGCTCATCTAGAAATATCACGGGGATAACTCTGGTTCAAGGAATACCTTGATGCCGTGAGGCAGGGGAATGAGTATTTTGGAAGGAAGTGGCCCCTTTGTGCTAAAACAATGCTCCCAATAAGATGTCTGTTGTTCCCTCAAAGCAGTGCATCAGCAATGAGCCTTGACGGTCAGAAGTGGCTGTATATCAGTAACTTAAGATCATCTTAAATTGATCTCTGTATATGCTGTGTGTGTGAAGAGGCAGAGCTAATGGATTCAGTTACAGGTTAATCCTCTGCACTAATTGGGTTCTCTACATAGGCCACGGTTGCCATGGTAAATATTGCTGGCTGCCAGATTTCTCCTACTCCATCCTTAAAAACACGGTTCGTCTTTGCAAAAGAATTCGAAAATTAACCTCTCTTGACTTCGTGGCTGTGCGCAGAGCTGGGGCTTGTGAGAGGGAAATAAGGGGACGGGTGTCTTTATTTCTGAGTCTGTGGTTTGCTGTGCAAAAAAAAAATGTATTAATTGAGCGTTTTGCCTTTCCTTCTGTGATGGAGCATTGCAGTGTTTTCCTGCATAATAATGAGACGGAGCCCATTCTGCGGTACATAACACTGATCTATTTATATTTGTTCAGGGAGTGAATAAGAAGTGTTCCCAGCCCTGTAGGTAAAGGTGCGCTTCATTATTGCAAACACTGTGTTTGGTTATGCATATTTTAACCCTTCAATAGAACATTCTTCTACACCACAAACCGACAGATGCTGATGTATCACAAACCAAGGCACACTGAGCGGTACTTTAAGTAGTTTTTGTGTCTTTACTCAATAAATATAGGTGTGAGGAATTTATTCTGCCAATTGGGTCTGATTAATTTAGTCACGACTGTTTGTGGGACGCTGCTGTGCATAATTGGCTGCCATGTTTCGGCCACAAAATATGCAGTCAATTCACTTTACGGTATATTCTGCGAAGCCCTTTGAGGCGTCTCGAAGACGTGATAAGGTGCCATATCAAATGCAAGGATTATTATTTATTATTATTTGTGTCCATGGCAAATCAGATTTGTTGCTCCATGTGCAGGAAACAAAGAACAGCAGGAACTTTCTGTAGACCACTTCCTGCTTGTTTGCATCTTCCTGGTTGTGAAAGTTACCCTTATAAAATTGCCTCTCTCTTTTACTGAGCCTGAGCGGAATCCAGATCACGATCTGGAACTCTATCCCCCAGTGCCTTCGCCGCCTCCTCCCTTTCCTCCTTCAAGGCCGGTCTCAAGACCTTTCTCTTTGACCGTGCCTTCAGCTCCCCTCTCGACTCTCTACCCCCTCCTCGCTGCCTCCCTCCCTCCCTTCCCTCCCCCTGACCATCTCCCCCCCAATGCTCGGGTCCTGACCCAACTGTACAGCGCCTTGGGACGTCCTTCCGACGTGAAAGGCGCTCTATAAATGGAATCTTGTTGTTGTTGTTGTTGTCTGCCACCTGCTCACAGGGCATTTGCGGTGGTTCAACAAAGATATTTTCTTATTACCATTAACCCCCTCAATCTTTCTTCTCGCCCTCCCCCTCTGTTATTACTTAGTTAACTCCTAATCCTCAGGGACATATATGGTACTCGCAGGTTTAATAATAATAAATTAATAATCCTTGCATTTGATATAGCGCCTTATCACATCTTCTAGACCTCTCAAATCGCTTCACAGAATACACTGTAAAGTGAATTGACTGTATGTTTTTGTGGACGAAACGCAGCAGTCAATTGCACACAGCAATGTCCCACAAACAGCTGTGGACTGAGTGACCAAATTATTTTTATTTTTTATTTTCTATTACTTTTGAAAGGATTATTACCCCCACAAAAACGATCCGCCAATCAACTAACAACCGGGTTCCTATTTATTGCCGGGTAAACAGAGACGTTTGGAGTAAGGAAACTTGTCCAACGTTTCGCACTGTCTGGGAATCAAACCCAGATTCTCTCTTTTGAGAGGTAAGTGCTCTAGCCACTAAGCTACAGGACTCCACAGTAATGCAATAAGAATCTATAATAAATCACTCTCTTACCCCTCTTTCCTTCCTTTGATGGGCAGCGGAACCCGTCCTCCAACATCTAGTGCTGAAGTGATGTTAATAATGACCAAACGATCAGTTTCCCAGATCTTCCCCATGCTGCTCCTGATATATTCCTGCTCTTGGAGGGGCAGAACTTCCTCCACATTCCTGTTTTTCACAAAGAACTCAGCCTCGTACAGCAGCTGAAGCTCTGCAGCAGGAAATAGATAAATTAGCTTAGTCTAAACCCAACACACACGACAACTTGGATTTAAGATGTCAGCTTGGCGAGGTCGATAACACTCTCGACAAGCCCCAACTTCTGGACTTTGAGCTCACAATGTCCAGGATGACCCTCCAATGCATTGCTTAGTGAGCCGCTGTATTGTTGGAAGTGCCGTGCCTTGGATGAGACGTTAAACTAAGGCCCTGTCTGCCTGTTCAGTTGGATGGTAATAATTCCTCCCCCAAAAATAAATACTTTGGTTATTGAATCCACGACTGTTTGTGGGACACTGCTGTGCGCAATTGGCTGCCACGTTTCGCCCACAAAATACACAGTCACTATGCTTTACATTATATACTGTGAAGCGCTTTGAGATGTCTCAAAGACATGATAAGGTGTTATATCAAATGCGAGGATTATTGTGATTGTTATTTATCAACTGCGCGGATTATTATTATTGTTCTCCTACATTTATATAACATAGCACTTCATCAAATTAAGTACATAAAAGAGAGCCTTTCTTTGTCCAGGATACAGAAACTGAGTTTGTCAAATGGTTAATTAATGTTGCAGAGTCCTACCCATTGGCGGTTTGACGTTAAAGATGAGCATTTGTCTCATAGTTTCGAACGTGTCTCTGTTGTAAGCAGTTACCTGGACGAAAGAAAAAAAATATTTTACAGAAATTGTGTCCAGTCAACAATAATAACAATAATAACAATAACAAAAATATAACAATAACAACAATAATAACAATAACAACAATAATAACAATAATAATAACAGCAACAATAATAACAACAGCAACAATAATGACAACAGCAATAATAACAATAACAGCAATAATAAAAATCACAACAACTTGGATTTATATAGCCGGACGGCGTCTCAGAGCGCTTCACAATAACAGATCCCGGGGCCGAGCTGGGGGAGGGGAAGAAGGTGACCAAAGGCGCGATCGAAAAGAAAGGTCTTTAACCGAGACCCGAATGCAGGAAGAGAGTGGACGAGGCGAAGGGAGTGAGGAAGGGAGTTCCTGAGCCTCGGGGCATAGTGGCTGAAGGAACGGCCGCCGATGGTGGAGCAGTGGATTCAGGGGACAAGGAGGAGGCCAGACCCGGTGCAGCAAAGGCAACAGGCACTGTTGTGAAGAGAGAGGAGGTCAGAGAGGTTAGAGAGTGCAGAGGAGTGGAGGATTTGAAAACAAGAGTGAGGATCTTGAAATTGATCCTCTCTGGGACAGGCAGCCAGTGCAGTCTGGCAAGGACTGGGGTGATCGGGGAGCGGAGTTTGGTGCGGGTTAGAATGCGGGCGGCAGATTTCTGGATGACCTGGATTTTATGAACAGTAGTGAGGGGAGACTGGCGAGGAGGCATTTGAATAGTCCAGCCAAGAGGTGACAAAGGCATGGACCAGGGTTTCGGCGGCATTTGGGGTGAGAGATTGGCAGAGACGGGTGATGCGTCAGAGGTGGAAGAAAACGGTGCTGGTGAGGGACTGGATGTGGGGGAGGAAGGATAATTGGGGGTCAAACCTGACGTCAAGGTTGCGTAAGGGTTTGGAAAGTTTTAGGGGCAGGTCGGGTATGTGGAGGAGGTGAGAACTGTGCGATTAAAGATGTTGACAAGAGCCACAGAGTATGGCTTCCGTCTTGTCAACATTTAGCTGAAGGAAATGCGGGCTCATCCAGCTCCTGATGTCTGACAGGCACCTGACAGAACATCAGAGGACTGGGGGTCGCAAAGTGAGGTGGAAAAATAGAGTTGGGTGTCGTCCGCGTACAACAACAACAACAAGTTTCCATTTATAAAGCGCCTTTCACGTCAGGAGGACGTCCCAAGGCGCTGCACAGTTGGGTCATGACCCGAGCAGGGGGGAAATGGTCAGGGTGAGGGGAGGGAAGGGAGGGAGCGAGGAGGGGGGAAATGGTCAGGGTGAGGGGAGGGAGCGAGGAGGGGGAAGAGAGTCGAGAGGGGAGCTGAAGGCTCGGTCAAAGAGAAAGGTTTTGACACCATCAGCATCCAAGGCTGCACTCTCCACCTCTCAAAGCCAGTCAGGAACCTCGGCGTTTTGTTCGACCCTGAGCTGTCCTTTCTCCCTCACATCCGCACCACAACTGGCACCGCCTTCCATCACCTCCGGAACATCGCCAGACTACGGCACTACCTCACCCCTCACGCCGCTGAAACCCTGGTTCACGCCTTTGTCACCTCAAGGCTGGACTATGGGAACTCTCTCCTCGCCGGCCTTCCCGCCACCTCCCTCCACAAGCTGCAGGTCATTCAGAACTCTGCAGCTCATGTACTGTCCCGCACCAGGCTTCGCGATCACATCACTCCCACCCTCGCTCGCCTCCACTGGCTCCCCATCCCCCAGAGGATTGATTTCAAGATCCTCATCCTCACCTACAAGGCCATTCACGGCCTTGCTCCCTCCTACATCTCCAACCTACTATCCCCCTACCTACCTGCCCGTACCCTCCGTTCCTCTGGCTCCGGTCTGCTCCACGTCCCCCGCCCCAACCGCCCTACCATCGGTGGTCGGGCCTTCAGCCTCTCAGCCCCCAGGCTCTGGAACTCCATCCCCCAGTGCCTTCGCCTTGCTTCCTCCCTTTCCTCCTTCAAGGCCGGTCTCAAAACCTTTCTCTTTGACCGTGCCTTCAGCTCCCCTCTCGACTCTCTTCCTCCTCCTCGCTCCCTCCCTTCCCTCCCCTCACCCTGACCATTTCCCCCCTCCTCTCTCCCTCCCTTCCCTCCCCTCACCCTGACCATTTCCCCCCTGCTCGGGTCATGACCCAACTGTGCAGCGCCTTGGGACGTCCTCCTGACGTGAAAGGCGCTCTATAAATGGAATCTTGTTGTTGTTGTTGTTGTTGAGACCGGCCTTGAAGGAGGAGAGGGAGGAAGCAAGGCGAAGACACTGGGGGATAGAGTTCCAGAGCCTCGGGGCTGAGAGGCTGAAGGCCCGACCACCGATGGTAGGGCGATTGGGGCGGGGGACGTGGAGCAGACCGGAGCCGGAGGAACGGAGGGCAGGTAGGTAGGGGGATAGTAGGTTGGAGAGGTAGGAGGGAGCAAGGCCGTGAATGGCCTTGTAGGTGAGGGTGAGGATCTTGAAATCAATCCTCTGGGGGATGGGGAGCCAGTGGAGGCGAGCGAGGGTGGGAGTGATGTGGTCCCAAAGCCTGGTGCGGGACAGTACACGAGCTGCAGAGTTCTGAATGACCTGCAGCTTGTGGAGGGAGGTGGCGGGAAGGCCGGCGAGGAGAGAGTTCCCATAGTCCAGCCTTGAGGTGACAAAGGCGTGAACCAGGGTTTCAGCAGCGTGAGGGGTGAGGTAATGCCGTAGTCTGGCGATGTTCCGGAGGTGATGGAAGGCGGTGCCAGTTTTGGTGCGGATGTGAGAGAGAAAGGACAGCTCAGGGTCGAACAAAACGCCGAGGTTCCTGACTGGCTTTGAGAGGTGGAGAGTGCAGCCTTGGATGCTGATGGTGTCGGCGCCTGAGGTGCGGAGACGCTGATGCGAACCAATCAGGAGGGCCTCGGTTTTTCGCACGTTGAGCTGAAGAAAGTTGTCTTTCGTCCAGGACTCGATGTCAGACAGGCAGCTGTCAGGACATCGGTGGTCGTGGATTTGAGAGTAGAGGAGGAAAGGTAGAGTTGGGTGTCATCCCCATACATGTGGAAGTGTACCCCATGTCTGCGAATGACATCTCCAAGAGGGAGCATGTAGATCAGAAAGAGGAGGGGGCTAAGGTTAGATCCTTGGGGTACCCCGCAGGTAACCGGATGAGAGAGGGGGGAAGAGCTGTTTGTGCAGATGTACTGATGGCAGTTTGTGAGATAAGACTCGAACCAGGGGAGTGCGGTCCCACTGAGGTGGATGACAGAGGAAAGGCGGTGGAGGAGGATGGCGTGATCAACTGTGTCCAAAGCGGCGGAGAGGTCCAGGAGGACAAGGAGGCAGAGGGAGCCCTGGTACGGATGTCATTTGAGACTTTCACAAGCGCAGTCTCTGTACTGTGGGCAGGATGGAAACCAGACTGGAGGGGTTCGAAGAAGGAGTGCGAAGAGAGGTGCGCGGAGTTGATTGGCAGCAACGCGTTCTAGGACTTTTGCGAGGAAGGACAGGTTAGAAATAGGGCGGTAGTGGCTGGGGTTTGAGGGATCCAGGGAAGGTTTTTTGAGGAGGGTGGTGATGACAGCAGTTTTGAGGGGGGCAGGGACTGATCCAGAGGAGAGGGACTGATTGATGACATCAACCAGTAGTGGGCAGAGAAAGAGGAGCTGGGTGACCAGCAAGTTGGTGAGGAGGGGATTGAGGCAGCAGGTGGTGGGTTTCATCGAAGTGATGGTGGGTTATATAATAATAATAATAGGGTTAGAGGGAGAAAGGAGAGAAGGGGAGGAAGGAATGTAGGATGGGGGTTGGTAGGAGCTGATGATGGGGCGGATGGTGGTGGGTGACAAGAAGCAGGAGGATGAGACTGCGTGGCGGATATTATTTATTTTAGATGAAAAGAAGTCCACGACCTCCTTGCACTTCGGATTTAATGTGAAGATTGAGGAAGCCTGAAGAGGAGCACGGAGGAGGTAGTGGGTGGTGGAAAAAAGGACTTTGGGTTGTTTTTTGCCTCCAAGATGATGTTGGAGTAGAAGGCCGTTTTTGCACGAGTCAAAGAATGGTGGTAGCTGTGGAGATGCCTGAGCCACAGTTGGTGGTGAAATGTCAGGCCAGTTTTCTGCCATCTGTGCTCGAGCAGCCAGGTTTGGGTTTTTAGGGAGCAGAAATGACTATTATACTAGGGGGATCAGGTGGGTTTGGAGATGGTCCCTGGATTTCAAAGGGGACGAGAGAGTTGAAGGTGGAGGAGAAGCGATAATGGAGCAGCTGGACGGCTGCTTCAGGATCTCTGCAGGTGGAAGGCCAGAGGGATAGGATATCAGAGGATGTGAGGGCCTTTGTGAGTGTCTCAGGGGGTAGCTTTTTCCACAGGCAGTAGAGTATGGTTGAGGGCTTGGTGGAGGAGAGAGGGGTGTGAGAAAAGAAGGAGATGAGGAAGTGGTCTGAGATGGCCTTGTCCATTATGCTCAGGTTGGAAATGTCAAAGCCGTGGGTGATGATAAGGTCGAGGGCATGGCCACGGTTGTGGGTCGGTGAATTTATGTGAAGGGCGAGGTTTAGGGAGGAGAGGAGGGCAGTGAAGTCAGAATATGTGGTGCAAGGGGAGTTTAGGTGGAGTTTGAAATCGTCCATTACGAGCAGGCGTTCAGAGCAGAGGACAGGGAAGAGAGGAGAGTAGCGATGCCAGAGAGGAAGGAGCCAGAGGGCTCAGGGGAGCAATAGACCAGAAGGATTTTCAGTTGGAGAGAGGGATGGAAGAGGGTGAGGTGCTCAAAAGAGGGGAAGCAGCCAGAGGAATAGGGGAAAAGACCAAGGGAAGCTTTGGAGATGAGGGCCACCCTGCCACCACATTGGTTTGGATGGGGGGGGGGGGGGGGGGGGGGCTGGAAGGTGTAGCCCGGTCATTGGGGGAGAGCCAAGTTTCTGTAAGCCCAAGAATGTCAAGGTGCTCATCCAGGATGAGGTCATGGATGGTGAGGGCTTTGTTTGTGAGGGAACAGACATTTTGAAGGGAAATGCGGGTGGGTTTGCTGGTGGGAGGAGAGAGTGATATGGAGAGGATTTAGGGTGTACAGAAGAGATGGTTGTGGAGTGTGGGGGAGGGTACGTATGAGGGAGGGGGAAGTTGTGTTTGCCTTAAGGAGGCGCTTTGTGCGAAGGGAGTGAATGATGGGACACTTGGGGTCGCTGCCCTGGGACAGCCAGTGCCTGGAGCCACAATGGGTCCAGCAGAGGATGACCAGGCTGGAGCAGAGGGAAGGGGTGATGGGGTCCAGTAGAGAGAGAAGGTGGAGGGCGCGGTGGGAGAGAAGGACAGAGTGGGAGTAGCGGATAGAGGGGGGGTGGGAGGAGAGACACTTAGAGTGGAGGTGGAGGCTCGAGTCGGGGCAGCTTTATTGTTAATAACAATAACAACAATAATAACAATGACAACAATAATAACAATAACAACAATAATAACAATAACAACAATAATAATAACAATAGAAATAATACCAATAATTAAATAATAAACAAATGCAAGTGTTACAATTATTTGTGGCTCATGGTTAAATGTTAAAGTTATTTCGATAATGCAGTGATTATCAATTTATTTTTGGTCAGCTGGGCATCTGAACCATGCAATAAACTCATAGCTGCTTAATAGTATCCAACCAGACTGAGATTTCCATACAAGCCATCGACACAATTGAAAGCTAAGTTTGTCTGGAATGGGGGATACAATACAAAATTACATTTGTAAAGCGCCTTTCGCTTTGGGAGGACGTCCCAAGGCACTGGACAGTCAGGGATTTTGGACACGAGCTGGGGTTTGAGATCAGGCAGGATGGAGGGCAGGGAGGATAGGAGGATGGCCAAAGGCGCAGTTGAAGAGGAGAGTCTTGCCTTGAAGGAGGAAAGGGAGGGAGTGAGGCGAAGGGAATTTGGGATGGAGTTCCGAAGGGTGAATACAAGGTAGAATACCAGGTCAAAGATTTTACCTCAATTACAGTCCTTCCAATATCGTTCAACGTGGGTGTGCCATAGAGTATTCCATCATGATGTACGGTTCTCTGTGTGTAACGAAGCCACTCAGGCCGGTCAGGGTGTCCTTTCAGATTGGTGGCAAAGCTGAGACAATCGTTGGTGTCGGAAATTATGTCTGAAACGGGTGGTTCGGAATGAAGACAAGAACTTAACAATTAATCATGTCACCCTGGCTCAGTCGCTAACACTCTCATCTCTGAGTCACAATGTGGTGGGTTCAAGATCCATGTCGGGATTTTGAGCTCACTGTAAGCTGAACTACCATTGTCGCGGGTGCCTGAACAGCTACACATGGGACCTCAGTTTAATAATAATAATAATAATAATAATCCTTGCATTTGACCTAGCGCCTTATCATGTCATTGAAAATCTGCTTCCAGAATTAAGACTCCACTTCTAACTGTGTTGCACAATTATGTCCCGATGATACATTTTATGGCAATGGTTTTAAGCCTAGGGTAAATTTGGGTTCCCTGATGAAATTTTGTGATTCAAAATACCCATTTGTTTCGATTGCTAGCTCACTGATTCACCAGTTGAACCTCCAATAAGGCTTAAAATGTTAGCAGATGTTTAACATACAGAGTGAGCATTGTTCAGGGGAGTGTGACCTCAGTCTGACCGCACTAACATTCAGTGGGTATTAGTTTTCAGAACAAATGTGATCATTAAAAAAAATTCTAAAGTCATGGATTCTGACTTTAGCAGGGAGATTAGAGCACAAAGTTTCATTCCGAGTTGTTGGGTGATAGAACTCCCTGCCAAGTGAGGTGATAGACCAAGTAGAGGCAGAATCCATATATTTGTTAGGTCAGGGTATTAAGGGATATGGGGCAAGGTTGGGTAATTGGAGTTAAGGTACAGATCAGCCATGATCTTATAGGATGGCAGAACAGGCTCGGGCTGAATTGCAAGTATATGTCTACGTCCGCACCAAGTTCTGTTGGGCACTTGACTGTGACCTCCAGCGCCTTGCCCCTTCCTACCTCTGTGACTTGCTAACCCCATATCAACCTGCCTGCTCCACGTCCCTCACCCCACCATCGGCGGTCTGGCCTTCAGCCTCTCTGCCCCCACCCTTTGGAACTCCAGGCCATATTCAAGCTTCGCTCCCTCCTTGGCTCTTTCAAGGCACGTCTCAAGACCCTCCTCTTCGTCCTCACCTTCGGCCACCCTCCTACACTCCCTGCCCTCCCTACTTTACTCCCTCATCTCAAGTTTAAATGCAATGGGCTTTTGAAACCCAATCCCTACTCCCATGCCAGGCACTCAAAGCGAGGCCATTTTTGAATGCGATGACCTTGTTTAATTGAAGTACAGATCAGACCGAATTGATTTATTTCGCCTAAAGAACTTCGGTCCGTTTTAATTTGTGGAGTATTTGTGAAATTTGTTCTATTTCAAGGGCAATTCTATGCTGAATTTCTTGTCTGTTGGGAACTTGACTGTGACCATCCAGAACCATTCAATTTTCAGCCCTTAATAATCTTCAAAAGGAAGATACCATTAGTATTTCTTGCTAATCTTCTTCAGAGCCATGGCCTCAAAGTTGATTGAACAGTTTTCTAATACACTGCAGGTGGAATTTTTTTACACCTGAGTCTGGATTTACTCAACATTTTTCAGAGCAAACTTGCAAAATATATGAGAGAAGGGAATAGAGGGTGGAGGACAGGGGAAAAGCAGGGGTTCGGCTTGTGTGGAGTATGAATATGTGCGCAATTCGCTGTTGCATTTCGCCCACACAATACACAGTCAATCCACTCCATAGTATAGTCTGTGAAGGCGTCTCACTTTGAGGTGTCTCAATAATATAATAAGGTCCTGTATTAAATGCAAGGATTATTATTAATATGGACGACTGTAGTTGGTCTGAATGGCCTGCTCCTGTGCCATATTATTCTACTGTGTTTTCGTAGCATTCCAGGGGTTAATACAATACAATACAAAATACAAAATTATATTTCTATAGCACCCTTCATGTCGGGAGGACGTCCCAAGGCGGGGATTGTACCCGAGCAGGCGGGGTTGGGTTCAGGGAGGGTGGAGGGTAGGGGTAGGAGGTTGGCCGAAGGCATGGACGAAGAACAGGGTCTTGAGACGTGCCTTAATGGAGGCAAGGGTTGGAGCGAGGCGAAGAGAATGCGGGATGGAGTTCCAAAGGGTGGGGGCAGGAGGATGTGATCAAGGGCTGAAAATTGAATGAGTCTGGGCGGTCACAGTCAAGTTTGCAACAAACAACAGATAATACCCCTGGTTAGCACGATAGAATATACGAGCAAGGGTTAATCCTACTTGATTACACTGTTCCCTGAGCGACCAGCTGCAACCACAAAGTGGAAGTGTTTTGCTCACTGCTCTGGAAGGAGATGAGGCCATTTTGGAAGTCCATCCTTTTCAACATGTGGATAAATAGGACCCCAGCCACAGGGGAGGCAATGTGATCGGTAAACCCCCAGCAAACCGTAGTGAGCAATACTGCAGGCAAAAAAAACCACATCAGTCAGATAAATTGAAAGCACGATATCAAATGCATAGATCATTTATTTACCGGGGCGTCGGATGGCTAGTGGCAGGCGAAAAAAATACACGTAATGACTTTCAAATGAGTAAAAGTACTTTGGAGGAAAATCTTGAAGTACTGTAAGAGTATTTTGCCACCAAACACACAGTCGGTACAGCTCACAAAACTTTGTGAAGCATTTTGAGATATTATTGACATTACAGGCACTATACCCAATGCAAGCGTTGGTATTAATTTAACTGGAAGGTTATTGTCAAGCTTCGATTGAGAAACTGAACAGAATGTCAAATACAAATGAGCGTGGGTTATTATCAGGCAGCTTATAATGATTGTTATAATGAATACATTTTGGACACAGAGTTTCCAACATACAAACATACTTCACGGCTGTTTGTGGGACACTGCTGTTTAAGGGCTCTAGGACATTACCCTGCGTGGATGGTGCTATATAAGTGCAAGTTGTTGTTGTTGTGTGCACATTAGCTGCTGTGATCTCCCACAAATACACACAGTCACTGCACTCACTTTACAATATATGTGAGGGGCTTTGACTCATCCTCCCAACATGAAAAGCGCTATGTCAAATGTCAGGATTATTACTGTTATTCTAATACAAATGTGCTCCACACTGTGGGTAGAACAACAACAGCAACAAATTGTATTTATATAGCGCCCTTCATGTGTGGTAGCATCCCAGAGCGCTTCAAAGTGGTGGAGTCTGACAACGAGCCAGGGAGAGAGGGAGGGAGTGGGGAAGTGACCGTAAGCACGATCAAAAAAAGGAAGGTCCTTAGGCGAGATTTGAAGGTGGGGAGGGAGAGAGGGAGCAAAGCAGAGGGATTGAGGTAGAGGGTGACAGAGTTTCGGGGCATAGTGGCTGAAGGCATGAGGGGAAAACAGGAGGCTGGAGTCAGCTGAGCAGAGGCAGCGGGTGGTGGAGTTGGTTTAGGAGAATGGAATAGAGCAAAGACTTGCCTGCAGAAGCACACAGCCAAACCTCGGCTTTCGCCATCGTCCTCTGAAGTTCAGAGTCAGAGTGCTGTCGCTTTGACAGACAGCAACATGTGGAGGTCAGACGCACGCGATCTAACTCAGAGAGCTGTATGCGGCTGCACTATTTTTAAATGTCTCTTCAGTGCTCCTGACAGCTGTTTGCTAGATACTTAAAGAAAAAAAACATTCCCTTTTCTCAGCTTACCCAAAGTTGCAAACTTGGGTCAAAAGTCAGCCACCAACCTATCGCATCTCATTCAAGTGTTGAGCCTGTACAGCAGTGTAAGTTATTCTATAAAACCTTGTCTGAAGTACATCGCCACTAAAATGCAGCATTATTATTATTAAGATTATATTTTTTATTATTATCCAGATAGTGCACTCTCACGAAAAGTTAGAATTATACAAAAATGTCTGCCAGGAAAATAACGTTGCATAAATGTACAACAACAACAACAAATCACATTTGTCTATTGCCTAATTAAACAGTGACACTAACTCCAGGAATGACATACATTGCAAGCACAAAGGGGTTACCAGATACAAATTGTCACTGAAGCACAATCAGAATGTAACTTTAGTAACTTGTAAAGTAACCAGGTTAATTTGATCAAATGAGTAATATTGTTATTTTTAAGTCCTGGGTGGGACGTAGTATATATAGTTAATAGCTATCTTGGGATCTTTTTATAGGCTGTAATGCTCTATCACTTTGTATTAGCGTCCCAGCCCTCTGGAACACTGCCCTAAGTGAGGGGTGCTAATCAAGTTGTTGTTGTTATTGTTATTATTTCTTTGCGTAGAGGGTGGTGAGAAGGCGGAAGCAGGCACATGCAGTGGGAGAAAGCATCTTGGGCTTCAAAGATCTCATGGCAACATTCGAAAATGGTGATCGGAGCGTGAATCTTGATGGGCAGCAATGAAGTACAAAGGTCGCAAATTAGCATCCCAGAATGGGAACCAATTCCCCAAGCGTTTCATTTGCCCCTTGTCCCCAGTAAACCGGCTGTTGGGTGGTCAAAATCTGAAAGAAAGCTGTGCAATAGATCACTTCTAATTGTGAAAGGCACAGAAGGGGATTTTTTATTCAGTTGGGCAGACGGACAAAGAAAGATAGGCTTCACTGGAAGTTGATGTGCTGGCTCTGCATACAGCTGTTCTGTATTCAGCCTCCGGAGCATGTGTCTAACAAATGGCTTTCTGTCAGAAATCAGAGCTACCGAGTCTTCAAAGGGCGTATCTGCTTTCTTGCTTGTTGTGAATTAGTCAATTCATTCTGGACATTGCCAGTCGACAGTCCTGCCTTTGTGTGCCAAGCTTTTAACAGGAGGGCAGAGAAAACACTGAACACTAAACAATATTTCTGACTGTTTTTCAAAATCTAGTTCATGTAAGCATGCACCCTGCAGTATTAATTGCATGTGCTACTACCAGACTGCAGAGACAGTGCCATGTCGGGACATTTGCAAGGGTCCATTATCAGCCACTGAAAGAAAGAAAAGTTAAGATATTATCCAGCCCTTTCTGTGTCTTGTGCACTTTGCATGTGTCCATTGCTTCTCACATGACTCCACAGACCCAAACTTACACTTAGATTTAGCCTGTAACGCCACTCATACAACAATAAGAATAATCCTTGCAGTTGACACAGCGCCTTTCACACCAGCAGGATGTCTCAAAATGCTTCACAGGATTTATTGCAAAGTGTAGTGACTATAATTTATAGGCAAACGTAGCAGCGCAGCCAGGTCCTACAAACAGCTGTGAAGTAAATAATAATAATAATCCTTGCATTTGATATAGCGCCTTATCACATCATTGGGATGTCTCAAAGTACTTCACAGAATATACCGTAAAGGGAATTGACTGTATATTTTTGAGCGTTTGTCTGGGAGAATCATCCATTAGGACTCCAGGTAAGAGAAAATAGTGCCGCGGGATCTTTAAGGTTCACTTGAAAAGACAGATGGGACCTCACATTAACGTCTCACCTGAAGGACAACACCTGCAGCAATGAAGGACTCCGCCCGCACCCAGCACTGCATTGGAGCGTAAGCCTAGACTGGGAGTTCAAAAGCCCTGAGATAGGGCTTAAACTCACAACCTTGTGATTCAGAGGTGAGAGTGCTACCAACTGAGCTAGGTAACTAGCACCTCAACAGCAACAACTTGCATTTATATAGCACTCTTCACGTGGGACAGCATTCTTAAGAACCTCTCGTTCTTAAGGATGTTGGCAATCTAGTTCTTAATGATCCTTCTTTCACTGATGGATATTTTAGGCTCGCAATCTTTTCTTATCTCAACATTTACATACTTCCTTTATTGCCAAATTAGACTGCTCGAAGCCTGGTGGGTTTTGTGATAAAGGATGATATAGAATAACAGGTCGCTGTGGCACAGATGTGATAACTTCCTGTCATGGAAATTCCGAGCTAACTCAATGGTTCTGTTCATTATTCTCCATAATAATTTCTTAACTCTTGAAAGCATGAGGTTATCCAAGGCTTGAATATGCTTCCCCAAATCTGGAGAGATATTTACAGCAACTCTCTGTACACAAGCTAAAATAAGCAACCCTTACATTTGATAAAGTGCTTTTCATATTGGGAGGATGCCTCAAAATGCTTTGCAGGATTTACACTGTAAAGTGTAGTCACTGTGTTTTGCATTCACACACGCCAGTCAGTTTTGCGCACAGCAATATTCCACAAACAGCCATGAAACGAACCAACAATTTTATTTGGGGGATTGTTGGTTAGGACACCAGGAGAGAGAAACTCCCTGCTCTTTTCGAATAGTGTGGCAGGATCTTTAAAGTTCACCTGTTCAGGCAAATGGGGCCTCTTTGTAATGTAGGAAGACACCTCTGACAATGAGGCTCTCCCCAGCAAAGTGTCAGATAAGCTGTGTCAGATATGTCCCAACATAAGGGCTTGAACCCACAACCTTCTGACTCAAAGGCGAGAGTGCTACCAGCTGAGCCAGGCTGACACCTGGTTTATTGAACACAATAGATGAATAAAAGTAGATTTTACTGACATGACAATACGGCTGTGTGTAAAAATACTTTAAAAACGGTTTAAAATCGTGCCCAGATCTAAAAGGATAACTGCTCTAAATGAAAATTGAAACGGGCTGCTTTCAAATCTCTTTGAAATAGAAAGTCAGAAATTCAGCATGACATCAAAAACTGCTTTATAGTTGATCATTATAATTATCTATTTTTAACGGGGAAAAGTTAAATTTGCCTGACGCACACACATACCAAACAAAAACTGTAAATATTTTAAACTCAATCCCACACCTTTAAAATTAAAATGGGATTCTTATCAGAGAATTAATGCCAGAGTTTGCAAATGCAAGAATTATTATTAATATTATTATGTCCTCCTGACGTGAAATATCAAATGTAAGGAATATTTTTTAATAAATAAATTGTGCCAGAGGTGATCCTAAAAAGCCTGGAGAGGAAACTGTGAGGTCCACTGTCTTGAGGATCTTATGACAATCTTGCGTTCACAAATATGTTTCTCGATCACAGTCCACACAGTGACAAGAAGTGAAGTGAAAGAAGGCAGATTAAAGGGCCAAGTTAATCCTTAAATCTACGCTCATTTTACGGATTGATACGTGCAGCACCAGTTTAGGTTGGCCTTGCAGAAATCTCTAGGAACCAGTCTAGCAGATAAACATCTCACTGAGTTTTAGTGAACAGTCCCAGACGTGAATGACATCCAGAATGAACTTTTGTGCAGACACTCGGGGCTGTGTAGTCTCTCAATGGCATTGCAGTGGAAGCTTTCACTTGTTCTTTTTTCAGAGACGATTATAAGATCTTAAGTACTCACAGAGCACGTGACAGTTGGAAGAGAGTGTGCTCTTGGCAATCTGAGTTGGTTGTGGATTCAGTGGAGCTCAGCTATAATAATATAATGATAATAATCCTTGCATTTGATACAGCGCCTTATCACGCTTTTGAGACATCTCAAAGCGATTCACAGAATATACTGCAAAGTCAATTGACTGTATATTTTGTAGGCAAAAAGCAGCAGCCATTTGCGCACAGCAGCGTCCCACACACAACTGCTGTCCTTGCATGTATCTTCTTAGACCAGTGCTCCCCAACACACTACAACACGATACAGATTCACATTGCTATTGTGTCTTTCATGTCAGGAGAACGTCCCAAGAAGCTTGGTGTCCCTAGGCTGTAGAAACGGACGCATGTTATAATGGATGCAAGAAGAGACTTGGTACAGTTTCAGGTTTGTGCTGTTCAAGTGGACCTTAAGATCCCATGGAAACTATTAAAGCCCTCTGAGACACCATCGGGCATGAAGGGCGCTATGTAATGTAAGTTATTGTTGTTATTCTAAAAGATAAATAGAGGGTATTAGGAGGGCTTGTGTACAGTATAAACATCGGCACAGACTCGTTGGGCTGAATGGTCTGTTTGTGGGCAAAAAAGTTCACTGTATCTCTATGTTATTCTATGTATCAGGAACTCTGACTGTTGCAGACTGGGTCAGAGCCCAATCTCTGCTACCCCGAGAGATGCGATTGAATACATACTGAGGACTCGCCGCCTAATCTGTATTGTTCCCCTGATGAAAGGTCATGGACCTGAAATGTTAACTCATTTGCCTCTCTCCATAGATGCTGCCTGACCTGCTGCGTGTTCCCAGCGACTCCTGTTTTATTTCAGATTTCCAACATCTGCGGGATTTTGCCTTTTGTTCCTTTGGCTGAGGATTTATCAAACAAGCCATCAGCGACAACTGTTAAAAGAATTTTAATGCAATTGAGACATCTCAAAGACATTTTAAGGTACTGCATCAAATGCAAAGATTATTATAATAATTATAGCTCCATTCAGGCTCGACTGTGACACCCTCTAGAGCAGGGGTGGGCAAAAGACGGCCCGCGGGCCATATCCGTCCCGCCAAATGATTCTATCCGTCCTGTCATTGTGTGCAGCAATAGAAAAAATTATAGTTTGTTCAGTCCCAGAAAGTAGCACAAATTTGGCATTTGAATCAGACCGAACATCAGCCAATCACACGGCTTAGCTGTGCGCGCGCTCCCTCCAGTGCTGAATTAGGCTGACGTCAGAAATGTACGGATCGGGAAATTTTCAAACATGCGGTCGGCAACCGCAGCGATACTGTTCACTGAAGAGAAAGTTAATTCGAAATGAGTTTATCAAAGAAGCGGAAAGTGGACGCTGAAGGCCGAATATTCAACAAAGAATGGACTTCTACATTTTCTTTACCAGTGTGGGTGGAAAATAAAACAAATAAAATAAATAAAATAAAAATAAAAATAAATTAAAAAATAAAATGAAGAAAGAAAATAAACAGTGTGCAGTTACAAAATAAAGTGAACAATTTTGCATATTTTTCACTGGCACTCGATGAGAGTTGTAATATCAAAGATGCTGCCCAGTTGATAATTTTTATTTGAGGTATCACCAAATATTTTGAGCTCACAGAAGAACTACCATCAATGCAGTCAATGAAATATATGACAACTGAAGAATTTTTGGAGGCAGTAAATAATGTATCTTAAAATTAGGAGTGGAGTGGGAAAAATTGGTGAATGTGACCACCGATGAAAGCCCAAATCTGACAGGCAAAAATGTTAGGTTACTGAAAAGAATTCAAAATCAAGTCAAAGATACAAATCAGAACAGAATATTGTTTTTCTACACTGCATTATCCACCAAGAGGTATTCTGTAAGAGTGGTCTAAAACTAAGCAACGTTGTGGACACAGTTATGAAAGTGGTGAACTGCATTCGGGCAAGAGGATTAAACCACAGGAAATTTGTAACTCTGCTTGAGGAATTGGAATCCGAGCACACGGATGTTCTGTATCACACAAATCTAAGATGGCTTAGTTTAGGAAAGGTCTTGAAAAGAGTGTGGGAACTGAGAACAGAGATTGATTGAATTTTGGACATGAACCAAAAGATTCGGATTTCCCACAGCTGAATGATGCAAATTGGCTGTCTGATTTCGCATTTGCCGTTAATATCATGGGCCACATGAATGAACTGAATTCAAAACTGCACCGGAAGGGGGCCTTTGTGCACGATTTGTATTGCAGGGTCAATTCATTTATGATGAAATTATTTCTTTTATCGCATCAGATAGGAAACAGGCTGTTCGCCCACTTTCCCACTTTGCAGCAGATTACTGTTTGCGATCAAAGCCTTAAAAAATATACTTCGTCACTACTTGCCTTACATGCCGAATTTTCTCGCCGATTCCAGAATTTCAATTTGATCGAAAATGACCTGTCTTTGGTCTCTTCACCTTTCTCAGTTGATGTTGACAAAGCCCCAGTTGGAGGTCAAATGGGGCTTTGTCAACATCAAATGAGAAAGGTGAAGACCTTCAACTTGAGCTTATTGACCTGCAATGTGATCCATTGCTTGGGGAGCAATTCAAATTAGTGTCGCTTCCCAGTTTTTACACCTCTCTTAATGAATATACCTTTCCAAAAATAAAGGCTCATGACTGGAGGATGCTTATGCTGTTTGGATTCCGTTGCAGTTTTGAATTCAGTTCATTCATGTGGCCCATGGTATCATCGATGCGAGGAGACATTTTCTGTGATGAAATTCAATAAATCAAAACATAGATCTGTGATGACTGATGACCACCTTGCAGCAGTACTCTGCATTGCAACAACGGAGACGATGCCTGACTTCAATTGTCTGGTTAATGCACATTAGCGCTTTCATTCTTCCCACTGAGTGAGCTTGTCACATTCTCATCAATATGTGAATAAATGAATAAATATCGAATAAATGTCTGCTCAGTGAGTTGTTTTTATTTAACCTAATTTTAATGAATGTCACCCATATAGACTTTATTTTATACACGTAAGACTTGATTTTGAGCTATTATTAAGCATTTGCATCTATTTTAAGTGTGTGGTCCGAAGCTTCACAAAACTCGTGAAGTGACCCGCCAGCCCAAATAATCGCCCACCCCTGCTCTAGAGTCAAATGGTCTGCTGACACTCACTGAAAGGCTCACTGTAATCACTTGGTTGGGCAGGTTGGCAGGTGGACGGGTGCAAAAGGAGGGACTCACCAAAGGGCAACCCATGTCCGTGGAACCATACCCCAATGAGAGGAGGTCAGACCAGGAGGAGTGAGAGGCGTGGGCCAGTGGAGAAGAAACCTAGAAAAATAATTAGGGTTTAAAAAATTATGTGATGATAATGATGACAATGGGTGAAGCTATTTGCCCTTTCTCCATAGTGTATGGTATGTGTGTGCAGTGTGTGTGTGTGTGTGTGTGTGGTGTGTCTGCGTGTGTGTGTATGGTGTGTGTGTAGTGTGTCTGTGTGTGGTGTGTGTTTGTGTTGTGTGTCTCTGTGTGTGTGTGTGGTGTGTGTAGTGTGTCTGTGTAGTATGTGTGGTATGTGTCTGTGTGTAGTGTGCGTGTGTAGTGTACGTGTAGTGTGTGTGTGTCTGGGTGTAGTATGTGTGTGTGTGTAGTGTGTGTGTGTGAGCGCAGTGGGTTTTAAGAAGATTTAAAACAATTATTTTTAACGTGCCAATTAAAGGTTCAAGATTTATTTGTTGGGGTGGTTTTACATGTAAATGAAGGGTTCCAATTTTTCATCACCGCTAATGAGAGCATCTTAAAATACCCTGCCTCATCCATTTATTGTATGCAAATTGCAGCTGACACACGTATCTCTCCAGAGAGGATGGCAAATCACCTCTACAAGCTCGGTGTTGAGCTGACATCAGCTCTACTTGGCTTCCGAGCACCATGTGAACATGTTAGTCTACTTGCATTGCAGAATTTAGGTGACAGAGTTCAGGAGAGAGCGCAAAGACAAAACTCTCCCATTTTCTCAAGAGCAGCCTTGTGCAGTGGAATTTAACTCGGCCTCAACAGACAAACTGCACGTTGTAAATGAGACCCAGGTTATACAGCGCCTTGAGAGGAAACCGGAGGATGGTTTTCACGCACAATGAGCCCAGCTGCTGGCAGTTTTTGTCAGGCCTCAGCAGTTGCACAATGAGCATGCTCCATCCTTCAGAAGGAATGGAGTGACATTGGGTTCATCTCAGTCTCTCAGTCTCTCTCTCTGCATTCTCGTTTCCTCCTCTCTCACTCTCTCTCCATCCCTCTCCATTTCCCCCAATCACTCCCCCCCTCTCTCTCTCTCCCTCAATTTCTCCCTTTCTCCCGATCACTCCCTATGTGAAAGGCGCAATACAAATGTAATTTGTTGTTGTTGGTATTGTAGGCCTCAGCACATTTCGTTCCTTGATTGAAGAATCTCATAAATATTTGTTTTGAAATCCTCACTCTTCCCAAATAATAATAATGATAATAATAATTGTTATGTCTGATATAGCCGCCTTATCACGTCTTCGAAACATCTTAAAGCGCTTCACAGAATATACTGTGAAGTGAATTGACTGTATATTTTGTGGGCGACAAATACTGATAACAATAACCCTCGCATTTGATGTAGCACGTTATCGTGACGCCGAGATGTCTCAAGGCGCTTCACGAGATTTTACTGCCAAGTGGAGTGACTGCGTATGTAGGCAAATGCCCAGCAGCTGATTTGATGACAGCAACATCCCACAAACAGCCACGAAGAAAACAACTACTTTTTTTAATGGGGGGATCGTTGAACAGAACATCAGGAGACACTCCATTTTCGAGCAGTATAAAACTCTTCAGCGTGGTGACAGAAATTAGGCTATGTATACCCCTGATTCATTGTGTTCAACATAATCTTAAAAAAACACTCATCTCTACATGTTTGTTTTGTTTCATTACTTTCCCTTTTACTTTGGTATGTTGTTCAAAAGAACAACAATAATAATCACTGCATTTGCTGAAGCACCTTATCAGTAATCAAGACATCTGAAAGTGCTTGCAGATTACACTGTAAAGTGTAGTGACTGTGTATAGTGTGGACAAACATGGCGACCAGTTTGCTCACAGCAACATCCCACAAACAGCCATGGAGTGAGTGATTCATTTTTCTTGGGGGATTGTTGGCCCGGACACTGGGAGAGAGAAACTTCCTTCTCATTTTGGATGATCATTTGCTTGTACAGAATTGAGTAACTTTGAAATTTCGACTGGCAGATAGACGATGATGTGATGAATTTACAACTGCTTAAGTCAAACCCACATGGGAACTCATTTTTCTTATCTATTATTATTATTATTATTATTATTATTATTATTATTATTATTATCTGTGTCGACAGTGATTCGCTGTGTTGAACATAAGGGACTTCAATTGGCTTTTGACTTCCTGCTTCCTTTCTCCTTCACTATCTACAAAATAATAATAATTTAGTGACTCAATCCATGGCTGTTTGTGGGACACTGCTGTGCTCAATTGGCTGCTGCGTTTCGTCCACAAAATATACAGTCAGTTGACTTTACAGTATTTTCTGTGAAACACGTCTCGAAGACGTGATAAGGCACTATATCAAATACTGTCATTGAACTACATTTGCCACCTACCTGCCCACCTCAAATGCAACAATGATTATTATTATTATTATTATTCCCAGTTTAGAGAGTGGCAGGAAAGAGTGATTTGAAATCAGTTACAGTCCCACCCATCAACTCCCTATTGCCTTTCGTACGTCTGCATTTTTGAATGGTGGTGGAGTTACCGAGCAGGTATGACTCCTGGCAAAGTCAGTCTTACCAGTCAAGTCCCAGCTCACGCTTGCAATGGGCTCTGCTGTTCCGCTTGTTTCCTCTCTCAGATAAAGGACAGTCAGGGGATTCCAGATGCCAATGGTAGGACACAGCTGAGATCCTGTCTGCCTGTTCAGGTTAAACATCCCATAATTCTGCTCAAAAATTGAAGGGAGTTACTCTTGCTGTTCTGGCTTTAGAGAGAGAGAGAAAAAATATGAGTCATTCTCTTCATGGCTGTATGTAGGGCATTGCTATGGCCAAATTGGCTGCCGAGTTTGCATGAATATATAATAATAATAATCCTTGCATTTGATATAGTGCCTTATCAGGTCTTCGAGACGTCTCAAAACACTTTCAAAAAATTTGTTTTGAAATCCTCACTCCTCCCAAATAATAATAATGATAATAATAATTGTTGTGTCTGATATAGCTGCCTTATCATGTCTTCAAAACATCTTAAAGCGCTTCACAGAATATACTGTGAAGTGGACTGTATACTTTGTGGGCGAAACGCGGCAACTGATTGCACACAGCAGCGTTCCACAAACAGTCGTGGGTTGAAAGACCAATTTGTTCCTTTTTTCAAAAAAATTGTGAAGCCAGTCATAATGGTGACACCCTTGGTGCGCCATGCAACAGAGAGTGGCACTGGGCTGTGGATCAGTTCAACAATAGCAGTACTAAACCTATATCCTGGTCATTCAATGTGATCTGTGATATAGTGTTGTGGGATGCCTGTAACTTTGCCAACATTTTTAGGGGGAGGAAGGGAGGGAGGATGTTGGAGGGACTCTGGGATGGAGTTCTGGGGCAGAAAGGATGGGGTGTGTGAAGCAGGCCAGTGTTTGCTGAGTGGCTGAGGGTGTGGAGGGGGAATTAGGAGCGTGAGGAGGTCACAGAGATGGATTGAGGGTGAGGGTGAAGTTGAAGGTGAGGCAGTGGAAGCAGTGGATAGAGAGGATGAGGATCATGAATCTGCCTGCCGAGCGAGGACGTGGGTGATGGGCTCAAGGAATAACAAGTGCACCACAGGAAAAAAACACACATTTTGTCCACGCTGATAAGAAGTCACTTACTTATTCATTTCATAATTTCCGCCACCAGAAGAGGTCACTATTTTACTCTGATCCCATCCCAGTAATGAGAACCTGGTTCATCCCAGGGAACAAGGACCTATGTCTATAAGCAAAAAAACAGGGGGAAGAAAGTCTAGAATATTACTGGAGGCTACACGTCAACATCAACAACAACAACTTGAATCTTTATAGCAACCTTCTTCGGGGTAGCGTCTCAGAGCGTTTCACAGTGGCGGGGGTGAGCACAAAGAGGGAAGTCAACACACACAAAAACCCTCTCAAAATAAGTTCTGTGCCTCTGGAGAGATATGTGTGTGTGTGTGTGTGTGTTGGGGGGAGTGGTGGAGACAAACAAAGGCTATAACTGTTCTTTCTGGAGGTAGGGAACATGGGGCTTATAAAGGAGATATGGGATTGTAATGGAGATATCTGCTATATAAGTGAGCTATGGGGACGAATATTTTTTTTCTGAAATCGTGACTGCACATTTTTATGATGCAAGATATATCTGTGTAACTGTGCCCACACCCAAACTACACATAGAAACACATACACACACAGACGTAGACAGACACACATACAGACACACACAGACATAGAAACACAGACAAACACGCACAGACACATATATAGCACAGACACATACACAGACATAGATAGACAGACACACACACACATACACACACACAGGACAGTGAGTAGGGATAAAATGCACAATGAGGCAGGTTTTACATCACTGAGTGGGGGTTGGAGGATAAGAGGCCAAATGGTCCTTTCTCAGTCTAGACAGCTTTGTAAGCTTAAACCACAGTCTCAGTCTCTCTCTCACACTCACAACAAATACATCGACAATGGCATTTGAGCAGGAAAGGAGTGCTCTCACACGTTGAAAAAAGATATAACAGGATTTGGAAATGAATTGCAAAGCATTATTATCATTATTATTATTATTTGGTGGGGAGGGATGTGCAATGGTTTTTCAAAATGCAATCTAAACATCTTTACCCTCCTTCCTCCTAAAAAATATGTACATACAGGGATAGACATTGGGTATGGGTTTGGGGGGAGAGAGAGGTGTGTGTGTGTTTGGAGGAGTGGGGGGTGGGTAGAGCTGTACGTCAGTGCTGGCAATCCTTTGTGGTGTGTGGCTGCTGTTCAGTGCGGATTGCGGTACATCTCTTTGGGGGAAGAGACAGAGAGACGCAGAGAAAGAGTAGAAACAACAGCAGAGACAGCTGGAGCTGGTGTTCACTCCATCGCTCTGTCTGCCACCCTCCCCCCCTCCTCCTCCCCCAAGGACTGGATCTGAAGGTGACAGCAGAGGAATCGGGTTAGAGACTGAATATTTCCTTATGTCTGTGCTTTCAATTCCTCCTTCTCACTCTCTCTCTCTCTCTCTGTCTCTCTCCTTCTCCCTTCCTCCCTCTCCCTCCCTCCCCCCCTCTCTGCAACGCTTTCGGGATCCTTTTTATGTATGTACGTAAGTGTGTCAGTGTGTGTGTGAGATATAAGATAATTTCCTCTCCAATTATTAGCAATAATACCCAGGAAAAGCCATCCAGGCCTTTTTTTTGTGTGCGTGTGTAGGGTCTCCCTTTTAGGTTCCACTGTTCCAGATATGATTGATTTCCTTCATTTTGGACCAATTTTTTGAAGTCCACACAGTCACACGCAGACCCTCTGCTTCTTATATACATGTGTTTTTTTTAGTATTTTAACATTTCAAAGAAAACCTGGGGTCCTCCCACTTATTGATAGGTGCAAATTGACTGCTTTGAGACGTTTGAATCAAGCAATAATAATAATAGTAATACTAATAATAATCCTTGAATCCGATATAGTGCCTTATCACGTTATTGAGATGCCTCAAAGGCGCTTCAGAGCACATACTGTAAAGTGGGTTGACTGTATTTTGTGGGCGAAACGCAGCAGCCAATTGCGCACAGCAGCGTTTCACAAACAGTTGTGGATTGAGGTGACCAATTATTTTTTGAGAAAGATAAGGCCCCCTATGCCAAATACAAAGATTATTATTATCCTGGAATCCTGTTCGCCATGTTGTTTGTGAGACAGTGTTTGGTGCAAATTACCGTTGTGTTTGCCTGTGTCGCGTTCAACGTTTCCAAGCCAAAATGTTTATGTTTATGTGAAAGGCACCAAGTAAATACAAGTTACTGCCATTATTCATGAACCGCACAATAACCCACCAAAACACCCAGGCGCACTTTCACCACCCAATCTTGCAAACTGTTCCTTGGCCGAATTTGGAACTGTTAATCATCGATATTTATTGAACCGTTTGGATGACGTTGAATGCCACTTTGGAGTAACTTCCCTTGCATTGCTTCAAACACAAAGAGGGTGGAAATTGGTGCTAAGATAGTGGTAATACCTGCGTTATTTCTTGGGTTCAGGCTGACAATCCCACACTCGATCCACTCACTTCATGGCCATTTGTGGGACACTGCTTATTATTATTCTTATTCTTATGATGATGATGTGAAGCTTTGTCCAAGTCAGTCACTGGCGGCAGAGATTTTTCCTATTCAACTCCTGTTAACCCTGCAGGCTAAAGCCTTAATGAATGGGTAGGATGTACTTAGCTGGAAGCTTGCCAGACAGTGCTCTTAACGGCAAGCTACTTGGTTTGAGCTGGCTAATTTCAGCAGTTACCCCAACACACACTCTGGGGTCCCCTCAACTCTCAACCCTCACCAATCTGCACCCAATATTCTCTGAATTAGTTAAACAGCGTATGCCTTTCTGGGAGAGAGAGTATGCATTCCATTTTCAACACAGAGATCTTTCCATGCATGGGTGGCATTAATACGTGGAACTCTCGGTCTGGAGTAGATACTCTTAAGCGCTCTGGTACGCTACCCCTTGTGAAGGGTGCTATATAAATCCAAGTTGTCGTTAAGCACAGTGATAGGTTCCTGCATGGACAATAAATTGTTTGTATTTCATGCACAAATTCTCCGCAGTTGCTCTGCAAATGTGTTCTATTATTCTAATCTGTGTGAAAAACAATAATAGTGCAATAGCCTAATTTGTTAGAGAAAAAAATAGGTTATCGCAGATCAGTAATATGTAGGTTAGAATCTGAAGCAGTTTCAGCACTTGAGTGGTTTCATAGAGGACACTGGCTAGCACTTCACTGACTTGCGCTCCAGTGAAGTGCTCTTGACAAGTCCTCCCAACATGAAAGGCATTTTAAATGCAAGCATTATTGTTATTATTATCACTATTATTATTATTATTATTACTATCATCATTAACAACAACAACTTGCACTTATATAATGCCCTATACCCAGGGCCAGCGTCTCAGAGCACTTAACAGAGGCAGAGCCTGACTCCAGCCGGGGGGAGCGGGCCGTAAGCACTGTTGAAGAGGAAAGGTTTCAGGCAGGACTTGAAAAGGGGAGAGATGGGACAAGGCGGAGGAATTGAGAGTTTTCCAGAGTTTCGGGGCGTAGTGGCTTAAAGCACGACCTCCAATGGTGGGGCGAAGGATGCAAGAGTCGAGCAGGAAGCTGGTTGTCAGTCGAGCGGAGGCGCCGGGTGGTAGATTGGGGAGTGAGAAGGTCGGAGAGGTAGGGAGAGTGTCAGGGGGGGAATGGATTTAAACACGACTGTGAGGATCTTGAACTGTTCAAACCACACACAACCAAACAATCGCTCGACGCTATCAAATGAGACAGGCGAAAATATTAACGAATTGTAGGTTAAAGTGAGTGGATTTTCATAACTTGTACATCTATGTTTTTGTGCTAATGTACACATTAGGACTGAACACTGCAAACTTTATCCTTATTATTTCAAATTAATGGTCATGATCCAACTAAGGATGATCTTTGGCAAACAACTGGATGTTATTTGCATGCATTTTTATAATAATATTCCTGGCATTTGGTACATGACCTTTCACATCGGGAAGACATCCCAAAGTGCTTCACAGGATATACTGTGGAGTGACTATGGATGGAGTACTGTAGCGTATTGGTTAGAGCAAGCTAGTGGACATGGGTTGGGCAAAACCTAAGGCAAGTTTCCTTGCTCCACATGCTTCTGTTAGCCTAGCAGTAAGTAGGAACCCAAGTGTTAGTCGTTTACACATCACTTTCCAGACGTAATAATCTCTCCAAAAATAAAATTGGCCACTCAATCCATGACTATTTGTGGGACACTGGTGTGCGCAATTGGCTGCTGCCTTTCTCACACAAAATATACAATCAATCCACTTCACAATATATTCTGTGAAGCGCTTTGAGATTTCACAATGACGTGATTAGGCGGTATATCAAATGCAAATTATTATTATTTGTGTATTTTAGAGTTTCATAAATCCCCTTTAATTTATATTTCTAAAAGAAAACAATGTGTTATTGGATTCTACAAACATACTACCTTTTAAGGTAATATATTCCACAAACTGAGTGGAGTCCTGTAGCTCAGTGATTAGAGAGCTTGCCTCGCAAGCGAGAAGACCTGGGTTTAATTCCCAGCAGGGCAAAATGTTGGACAAGTTTCCTTACTCCACAAGCCTCTGTTTATCTAGCAGTAAATAGGAACCCGGTTGTTAGTTGATTGGCGGATCGCTTTTCCAGGGGTAATAATCCCTTGAAAATAATAATAATAATTTGGTCACTCAATCCACGACTGTTTGTGGGACACTGCTGTGCGCATTTGGCTGCCGCATTTCGCCCACAAAGCATACAGTCACTTTACAGTATATTCTGTGAAGCACTTTGAGACGTCCCGAAGACATAATAGGTGATATATCAAATGCAAGGATTATTATTATTGCATTTATTAATGCACTTTGTATCTCTTCATTGATCAATTTGAAACACTTTGTATTACTATAATGAAAAGGAATGAATTGCAATTTCTAAACCAGATCTGACAGTTTTTTGACAAAGCATCGTCATTGCAATCTTTTACATACATTGTTTTTCATTTGTTTCTTTGATTTCTTTAGGTCCATAGCTTACCCCTGCTTTGTATTTACGTTGAGTGGTAGGAAATGTACTTTTTGATGATCAAAGTATCAAAGTATAAACAATGATAATAATCCTTGCATTTGATATAGCGCCTTATCCTGAAGTAAATGAGAATTTCCTTAGCAAGTCTTGGCTTTGGTCTGATCTCTTTACTCAGTGAACACACCAGGTTCACAAACTGTATCTATTTCTTCATGGGAGAATCCTTTTATTTTTAATGAAACTTCGCTGCAGAATTGTATCGGGATATTCCCACATTCAGACGTGTGCATTGTTTATTTTGTTTAGTGATCTGCTTTTGTCTCCACTGTAAAGCATATCTTTCCCTTACGTTTCCGTGAAGAACACAGACATTAGCTGAATAGCACACGTACACATCCACTCAAAAGCTATTTCTGGTAGCTTTTGTTGCAGACATGCTAATCAATTAACATACAACAACTTTTGTTGATACAGTGTCCTTCACGAGGGGGTAGCATCTCGGAGCGCTAACGGTTTTGGAGCCTGCCGCCAAGCCGGGGGGAGGGGGGAGGTAACCGTAAGCATGGTCAAAGAGGAAAGCCTTCAGGTGTGATTTGAAAAAGGGAAGGAAGGAGGCAAGGCCAAGGGATTCAGGGAGTTCCAAAGTTTCGGAGAGAAATGGATAGTGTAGTAGGGGAGCGGTGAGGAACTGTTGAGTGGGGAGATGATGAAAGCATGGATGAGGGACTCGGCTGAATTGGGTGTGAGGTATGGTCGGAGGCGGGCAATGTGCTGGAGGTGGAAGAAAGCGGTCCTGGTTAGGGGACTCGGATATGAAGTAGGAAGGACAGCTGAGGTTCGAACCTGACACCCAGGTTCTGCACAGGTTTGCTAAATCTTAGGGGATGTCCGGGGAAATTGAGGAGGTCAGAGCCACAGGAGAGAAGATGTTAATGGGAATGTGGCTTCCTTCTTGTCGACATTCAGCGGCAGGAAATTTGTGCTCATCCAGGTCTTGATGTCTGATAAACAAGCTTGACAGGACATCAGCAGATCTGGAGTCACAGCTGGAGGTAGAGAAGTAGATATATGTTCAGTCGCAAACATGCAGAAGTTTACCACATATGGATGACATCTCCGAGAGGGAGCGTGTAAATGAGGAAAAGGGGACCAAGGATGGAGCAGAGGTGAAGCGATGGCAGTTGGTTAAGTTGGCCTTGAACAAAGCGAGTGCGGTCCCACTGAGGTGGATGAGGGAGAAGAGGTGATGGCGGAGGATAGCATGATTGACCTACATATTAATTAATTTGTTTTGTACATTTTTGCCAATTTAATATGTACATTTTTGGTAACTGCAGGAAGTAGTTTAAGAGTGCCTTCGTATTTTTGCGCTGGTTTGAAATATGCCTTTAAAATAATAATAATCCTTCCAGAAAGATATATTTGATGTAGTACCGTATCATGTCGTTGAGACTATCTCAAACGAGTTCCACAGGATTTTTACTGTGAAAGTGCAGTGACTGCGTATTTGTAGGTAAATGTGGTTGACAATTTTCACACAGTGACGTCTCACAAACAGTCATGAAGTGAATGGGCAATTTTATCTGGGGGGAGGGTGGGGGTTGGGAATTGTCGGCTGGGACACTGAACAGGCAAACAGGGGTTCGGTTTAATGGCTGATCATACCAAGCAGTACTCTCGTCCCCCCCACACCCGCTTCCCTTTCCCATGTCCCCCAACCCACCAGCACTTAATAGGAGGGTCAGCCTGGACTGTGGGTGAGCTCAAAGTTAGAAGGTGGGGTTGAAGGATACAGGATTGGGATATAGCAGAGCAGCAGTCAGTTTACGCTGAGGGATGACCCAGTCCTCTCCCCCCTCCCCTTACACGCACACATCTCCCAATTCCCCCCTTTACACATATAATAATAATAATAATAATAATAATAATAATAATCCTTGCATTTGATATAGCGCTTTTCACGTCAGGAGGACGTCCCAAAGCGCTTCACAGAACACATTGTAAACTGAATTGACTGTATATTTGTGGGCGAACGCGGCAGCCAATTGCGCAATATACCCCCAATCCGCCTTCCACTTTACACACATAGCTTTTAATTCATTACCCCCTCTCCTTATACATTTACCCCCTAATTACCCCCCTTACACACACATTCCCCAATTCCCCCCTTACACATATGCCCCCAATTCTCCCTACACATACCCCCTAATTACCCCCCTCCCCTCACACAAACACTCCCCCAATTCCCCCCTTACAAACACACACACAATTCCCTCTTACACTTTCGAACATACCTTCCCAAATTTCCCCTCCTGTGAACACACATGTCCCCCCCCCCCCCCCCCAGCCAATCAACAACAAGATTCCATTTATAGAGCGCCTTTCACGTCGGAAGGACGTCCCAAGGCGCTGTACAGTTGGGTCAGGACCCGAGCATTGGGGGGGAGATGGTGAGGGGAGGGAAGGGAGGAGGGGGGAAATGGTCAGGGTGAGGGGAGGGAAGGGAGGGAGGAGGGGGAAATGGTCAGGATGAGGGGGGGGGAGGGAGGAGGGGGAGATGGTCAGGGTGAGGGGGGGGAGGGAGGAGGGGGGAGATGGTCAGGGTGAGGGGGGGGGAGGGAGGAGGGGGGAAATGGTCAGGGTGAGGGGCGGGGAGGGAGGAGGGGGAAATGGTCAGGGTGAGGGAGGGGGAGGAGGGGGAGATGGTCAGGGTGAGGGGGAGGAGGGGGAGATGGTCAGGGTGAGGGGGGAGGGAGGGAGGAGGGGGAAATGGTCAGGGTGAGGGGAGGGGGGGAGGGAGGGAGGAGGGGGAAATGGTCAGGGTGAGGGGAGGGGGAAATGGTCAGGGTGAGGGGGGGAGGGAGGAGGGGGAGATGGTCAGGGTGAGGGGGGGGAGGGAGGAGGGGGAGATGGTCAGGGTGAGGGGGAGGGAGGGAGGAGGGGGGCGATGGTCAGGGTGAGGGGGGGGAGGGAGGAGGGGGGAGATGGTCAGGGTGGGGGGGGGAGGGAGGAGGGGGAAGATGGTCAGGGTGAGGGGGGGAGGGAGGGAGGAGGGGGGAGATGGTCAGGGTGAGGGGGGAGGGAGGGAGGGAGGGAGGAGGGGGAGATGGTCAGGGTGAGGGGGGGAGGGAGGGGGGAGATGGTCAGGGTGAGGGGGGAGGAGGGAGGAGGGGGGAGATGGTCAGGGTGAGGGGGGAGGGAGGGAGGGAGGAGGGGGAGATGGTCAGGGTGAGGGGGGGAGGGAGGAGGGGGAGATGGTCAGGGTGAGGGGGGGAGGGAGGGAGGGAGGAGGGGGGAGATGGTCAGGGTGAGGGGGGGAGGGAGGGAGGAGGGGGAGATGGTCAGGGTGAGCGGGGGAGGGAGGGGGGATGGTCGAGAGGGGAGGAGGGGGGTGGTCGAGAGGGGAGGGGGGGGTGGTCGAGAGGGGAGGGGGTTGGTCGAGAGGGAGGGGGGGGTGGTCGAGAGGGGAGGGGGGGTGGTCGAGAGGGGAGGGGGAGGTGGTCGAGAGGGGAGGGGGGGGGTGGTCAACAACAACAACAACAACAAGATTCCATTTATAAAGCGCCTTTCACGTCAGGAGGACGTCCCAAGGCGCTGCACAGTTGGGTCATGACCCGAGCAGGGGGGAAATGGTCAGGGTGAGGGGAGGGAAGGGAGGGAGCGAGGAGGGGGAAATGGTCAGGGTGAGGGGAGGGAAGGGAGGGAGCGAGGAGGGGGAAGAGAGTCGAGAGGGGAGCTGAAGGCTCGGTCAAAGAGAAAGGTTTTGAGACCGGCCTTGAAGGAGGAAAGGGAGGAGGCGGCGAAGGCACTGGGGGATGGAGTTCCAGAGCCTCGGGGCTGAGAGGCTGAAGGCCCGACCACCGATGGTAGGGCGGTTGGGGCGGGGGACGTGGAGCAGACCGGAGCCAGAGGAACGGAGGGTACGGGCAGGTAGGTAGGGGGATAGTAGGTTGGAGAGGTAGGAGGGAGCGAGGCCGTGAATGGCCTTGTAGGTGAGGATGAGGATCTTGAAATCAATCCTCTGGGGGATGGGGAGCCAGTGGAGGCGAGCGAGGGTGGGAGTGATGTGGTCCGAAGCCTGGTGCGGGACAGTACACGAGCTGCAGAGTTCTGAATGACCTGCAGTGTGGAGGGAGGTGGCGGGAAGGCCGGCGAGGAGAGAGTTCCCATAGTCCAGCCTTGAGGTGACAAAGGGTTTCAGCCGCGTGAGGGGTGAGGTAATGCTGTAGTCTGCCGATGTTCCGGAGGTGATGGAAGGCGGTGCCAGTTGTGGTGCGGATGTGAGGGAGAAAGGACAGCTCAGGGTCGAACAAAACGCCGAGGTTCCTGACTGGCTTTGAGAGGTGGAGAGTGCAGCCTTGGATGCTGATGGTGTCAGCGCCTGAGGTGCGGAGGCGCTGACGTGAGCCAATCAGGAGGGCCTCGGTTTTTCGCACGTTGAGCTGAAGAAAGTTGTCTCTCGTCCAGGACTCGATGTCGGACAGGCAGCTGTCAGGACATCGGGGGTCGTGGAGTTGAGAGTAGAGGAGGAAAGGTAGAGTTGGGTGTCATCCGCATACATGTGGAAGTTAACCCATGTCTGCGGATGATGTCACCACAGGGGGAGCATATAGAGGGTGAAGAGGAGGGGACCGAGGACAGAGCCCTGAGGGACACCACATGAGACAGTACAGGGGGTGGAGGAGAAGCCATTCGTTGAGACAAAGTGGTCGAGAGGGGAGGGGGGGTGGTCGAGAGGGGAGGGGGGTGGTCGAGAGGGGAGGGGGGGGGTGGTCGAGAGGGGAGGGGGGTGTGGTCGAGAGGGGAGGGGGGGGTGGTCGAGAGGGGGGGTGGTCGAGAGAGGGGGTGGTCGAGAGGGGGGGGTGATCGAGAGGGGAGGGGGGGGTGGTCGAGAGCGGAGGGGGGGATAGTCGAGAGGGGAGAGGGGGGTGGTCGAGAGGGGAGGGGGGGATGGTCGAGAGGGGAGGGGGGGGTGTCGAGAGGGGAGGGGGGGATGGTCGAGAGGGGAGGGGGGGTGGTCGAGAGGGGAGGGGGGTGGTCGAGAGGGGAGGGGGGGTGGTCGAGAGGGAGGGGGGGTGGTCGAGAGGGGAGGGGGGGGTGGTCGAGAGGGGGGGGTGGTCGAGAGGGGAGGGGGGTGGTCGAGAGGGGAGGGGGGTGGTCGAGAGGGGAGGGGGGTGGTCGAGAGGGGAGGGGGGTGTGGTCGAGAGGGGAGGGGGGTGTGGTCGAGAGGGGAGGGGGGTGTGGTCGAGAGGGGAGGGGGGTGTGGTCGAGAGGGGAGGGGGGTGTGGTCGAGAGGGGAGGGGGGTGTGGTCGAGAGGGGAGGGGGTGTGGTCGAGAGGGGAGGGGGGTGTGGTCGAGAGGGGAGGGGGGGTGGTCGAGAGGGGAGGGGGTGGTGGTCGAGAGGGGAGGGGGGGTGGTCGAGAGGGGGGGGGGGTGGTCGAGAGGGGAGGGGGTGTGGTCGAGAGGGGAGGGGGGTGGTCGAGAGGGGAGGGGGTGTGGTCGAGAGGGGAGGGGGGTGGTCGAGAGGGGAGGGGGTGTGGTCGAGAGGGGAGGGGGGGTGGTCGAGAGGGGAGGGGGGGTGGTCGAGAGGGGAGGGGGTGTGGTCGAGAGGGGAGGGGGGGTGGTCGAGAGGGGAGGGGGTGTGGTCGAGAGGGGAGGGGGGGGTGGTCGAGAGGGGAGGGGGGTGTGGTCGAGAGGGGAGGGGGGGGTGGTCGAGAGGGGAGGGGGGTGGTCGAGAGGGGAGGGAGGGTGGTCGAGAGGGGAGGGGGGGTGGTCGAGAGGGGAGCTGAAGGCACCGTCAAACAACCACCAATGAAACGGGCGGACACGGGGCGGAGGGCGGACGCGGGGCGGAGGGCGGACGCGGGGCGGAGGGCTTTAGGACCCGCAGGAGGGGAGGTTGACAATGTAAGAAGAAGGGTTGAGAGAGAGGGAGAGAAAAAATCTAATATTTGGCCATCAAAAGGATACACGGAGAGCACTGAGAGAGGGAAAAAAGCAGCAATTCATCCCTAGGTTTGTGTTATTGATCCTGTGGTTGCATTTACAAGAGATTGACTGTATTTCTCGGTGTGTGTGTGTATCTGTGTGTGTGTGTGTCTGTGTGTGTGTGTGTGTGTGTGTCTGTGTGTGTGTGTGTCTGTATCTGTGTGTGTCTGTGTCTGTGTGTGTGTGTGTCTGTGTGTGTGTCTGTATCTCTGTGTGTCTGTATCTCTGTGTGTGTCTGTGTGTGTGTGTGTCTGTGTGTGTGTCTGTATCTCTGTGTGTCTGTATCTCTGTGTGTGTCTGTGTGTGTGTGTCTGTGTGTGTGTCTGTATCTCTGTGTGTCTGTATCTCTGTGTGTCTGTGTGTGTGTGTCTGTGTGTGTGTGTGTGTCTGTGTGTGTCTGTATCTGTGTGTGTCTGTGTGTGTGTGTCTGTGTGTGTGTGTGTCTGTGTGTGTCTGTATCTGTGTGTGTGTCTGTATCCCTGTGTGTCTGTGTGTGTGTCTGTATCTCTGTGTGTGACTGTGTCTGTGTCTCTCTATTGTAGATGGAAACAGCATCAGCAGCGGATTGTCGGGCGATCACAACCCACTAGTCGCTAGAATGCGATCGGCAGTTTGATTTCCACCCCTTCCTCCTGCGCTGACCTTTCACTAACTGAGAGCCGGGAGGGAGGTGGAGGGCGAAAATGCGGCTGGGGAAGCGCTGAGAGCGAAACATGATGAGACATGACACGTCTCCGCTAGCTGCCGCTAGCCCGAGGAGCCTATCCCCACACCAGAGCGCCTCTCAGGAGGACCACACACCCGCCAAGGACGCCCAGGGACCCGGGGTGGGCAATGGGGACAAGACCCCCACCGGGGAACTCGAGGGGAGTCGACAGAGGCTGGGCAGGGGCAAGAAGTATGGCTCCAACGTGCACAGGATCAAGAACATGTTCCTGCAGAAGATGGTGACCACCCCGAATGAGGCCACGGGCATCCCAGCCAAGGGCAAGGAGCGCTCCGTCCGGCTGTCCCTGCCCCGCGCCAGCAGCCTCAATGAGAACGTGGACCACCAGGCCCTGCTCAAGCTGGGCACCAGCGTGTCCGAGAGGGTCAGCCGATTCAACACCAAGTCCGACCGGCCCTTGTCCAAACTCCAGGAGACGAGAAAAATCTTTGAGAAGAACATCCAGGAGAAGAACGTGGCCCACCGGGCGCTGCTGAACAAGGAGCGGGCGGGCCTCAAGGATGGCAAGCTGGACGTGGTGGTCCGGTTCAATGGCAGCACCGAGTCGCTAGACAGCTTGGAGACCGAGGCCATCTCGCCCACCGTCAGCCAGCTCAGTGCCGTGTTCGAGAGTGGGGCCAGCAGCAAGAGGAAGGCCGGCGGGGCAGAGAGGGCGAGGCAGGCTGGGTGCCCGCCCAACGCCAAGGCCGTCCCCAAGAAGTCAAGGGCCTTGGCCAAGAGCCAACAGGATGCCGGCAGATGCGAGGGTGGGGGCAAAGCGGAAGGCGGCTTCTCCCTCGATCAGTTGGCCGTGGGCATCGGAGGGCAACAGGTGGGAGGCTCAGGGGGCACCTCACCCTCTGCCAGTGCATTGGCCAGTAAACTGGCATCGCTGGTCAAACATGGGGACAGCCTGAAGGAAAGCAGGGCCCCCCAGCCCGCCGCGCTCAGGCCACAGAGCTGCGAGGATCCCGGGGTCATCAGGCCAGTGGAGGACAGCGGGCAGGGCAGCCCCGAGCCAGGTCAGGGGGCATCAGCCAGGGAGACCGGAGCGGCCAAGGACTCGGCCAATGGCTGTGGTGAACTCCAGCAGGGAGACGTGGCATCAGAGAGCTGGGAATCCAGTTGTATGGAGACCCGAGCAGCAGAAAATGGAGAGATCCCACAGAGGCAAAGCCTGGAACGTCTGCAATCGGCCTCCCTGGATTCCACAGATGGGCTGGCCAACCAAGGCGAGGGGTCCCTGCCCTCGAAAGGAGACAGCTCTGAGGACGGAGAGCAGATCAGGAACGAGCTGGATCTGTACGATCATTGCAAGAGGAGCGAGGACTTTTCGGAGGCTGATATGGTGGACATAAGCGCCTTCAGTGGGCTGGGTGACGAGTCTGAAAGCAGTGTCCTGGATGACGACGAGGATACGTTTGAGCCCGAGAGCGGCTTCACCGAGGTCACAGGATTATCGGACGAGGAGGAACTCGTGCCACATCGGAAGATTCGCTTCAGCACGGCACCCATTAAAGTAAGTAAGTTCACCTGAAAGAGAGCTCATTCGTGGTAAGTATGGGAACAAAGGCAATTTACTCTAAATTTCCACCAATTTCTTCCCCTACCCCCCACTTCCCCCTTCACTTAATATTTGAGGGCACAAGTGTTGAGCAAATTTCCTTGCTCCACACACCTGTTTACCTAGTAGTAAGTAGGAACATGGTTGTTAGTCGATTGTCGGATTGCTTTTCCGGGGGTCATAATCCCTTAAAAAAATTATAATAATTTGGTCGCTTATTCCACAACTGTTTGTGGGACACTGAGTGTGCAATTAGCTGCCGCATTTCGCCCACAAAACATACAGTCAATTCACTTTACAGTCTATGCAGTGAAACGCTTTGAGATGTCTCAAAGACGCGATAAGGGGCTATATCAAATGTACGGATTGTTATTATTATTTACTTGCTTGGTCTTCAGTCACATATCTTTCTCCTTGCTGTATTTTAGGAGTGTAGTAAAGTCTACCTCAACAACAGCAAGAATTATGTAAAAGAGTATTTTCTGTTTGGTTTATTTTCTTGATGGGGCTTGGAGATGGGACAACTCAGAATAATTGTGTTATTCATTTCTCATATGACATAATAATAATTAATAATCCTTGCATTTGATACAATGTTTCTCACATAAAGAACATCTTGGAATGTCTGTAAAGTGTCGTGACTACGTTTGTTTACACCTGGCTTCAGAAAGAGAAGAAAGTTTCTCTCTCATAGTATCCTGGCCAAACAATCCCCCAAATAAAATTGTTCAATTGCTTCATGGCTATTTCCAAGATGTCACTTTGCACAGTTATCACTGCGTTCACCTACAAGATACACATTCACCAGGCTTTACAGTAAATGCTGTGAAAAGCTTTGAAACATCCTCCCTATGTGCAAAGCACAATATTAAATGCAAGGATTAATGTTATGTGTCGGCAAATTGCAGAGGTTTATGAAGTCATTTTTTAGACAACGCCTGATGGTATAAATCATAACTGCAGGCTCAAACAATTTTTGGAAAAATCTGGCTTTGCGAGACAGACTTTTTTAATGACAGTATTATTGATGTAATAATCTGCTCTGTAAAGTTTATTTCATGGCCTGATCAGGAACCTTCTCAGATGGATTCTGGTTCATTCTTTTATGGAACGGAATTTGGCTTTGTTTCTCCTAAGGTCAGATTGTCGTTTTACAATGCCAATCTGACGTTATGAGAAAGAAAAATCTTTAAGGCAATTAGCTTTAAGCACTCAGTCATTTTGGAAATCCATGACAAAAGTTAATGAGATGATCTTGCAGGTGGGTGGACTCAAACAGAATGTATTGGTATATGTGGGCTGGCACTGTTATGGAGCTTGCCATGTACTGTACTGTAAAACTAATTGGAAGTGCTGCAGCATTGGAAGACAGAAATGATGCTTCTTTTGTGATTCAAGGAGTGAAGTTATGCTGAGCCTTATTGGGCTGAGCTGGTTTCAAGCTGACATGCTCGATTATTGGAATGTCTAAGTCGAGTCAACCCTCCGTGTCTCGATAGTCCGGTTCCTGAACCAGACGGATCCGTAGTACTCCAGGTTACTGCTGATGTCAGGCCAGCCCAGCCTGGCTTGTCAGCAGGGCTTGGAGAAACAGATGGGTCACTAGGGACAGAGATTCTTGCCACTCAGCTCCTGTAAGCCAATGTCCTAATATGTAGGGTGGTCTTAGATAGTCGAGCAGCAGAAAGCTTGCCAGACAATGCTATCGATGGCAAGTTATGCAATTTTAGCTGGTTAGACTCCAGCAGTTATTGTATTGACTTACTTGATCATTCTTAAACACATATGGTGCAAGCCACGTATCTAGCTACACAGTGAAATTACCAGGTGTTTATTCAGATTGATGCACACAGGAGGCATTTGTGTACCACGAAAGTCGTTGTAACTAACAATGCTTTTTTTGTTTTTTCCCCCCCTAAATAAGGTTTAGCTTCCAAAACAGTGGAAAAATGGTTGCAGCAGTACTTCCTGTCAATAACAGGAAGGGGCTGAAAAAGCTTCCAGTAAAGACCGTTCTGAATGGTGTTAAATCAAATGCAAGGATTATTATTAAATCAAAGCAATGTTTTTGATAATGGACCTCTTGTTTAAGTGGATCTCTCACAAAAATAATGGAACATTTCTCAAATAATATCCATTTATTCCTAATGCAGTCATTAATTGTCTTTGTCTTGTGATCTTTGACAACCACTGTATCCACTTATAGAGCAGCCAGTGACTGGAGGACATAATCTAACAATAATAATAATCGTTGCATTTTGATATAGCGCCTTATTACGCCTTTCAGGTGTCTCAAAGAGCTTCACAGGATATGCTGTAAAGTGAATTGACTGTATATTTTGTGAAATACCCTGACAAGTAAGATGGTCGAGGCAAAGTCCATTGTGGATTTCAAGGGAGAAGTAAAAGTGTATTTGAAAGATAGATAGGCTTGAAGGAGTATGCGGATAAGGCAGGGCAGTGGGATCCAATGAACAGCTTGTTCTGAGAGCCGGTGTTGACTCGATGGGCCGAATGGCCTCCTTCTGCCCTGTCAATGTATGCTTTATCCGTTTTCTGCTGGTGCTGTGACTTTTCTTAAGGAAAGCTCGTTTATTGCTTTATAATGACAAGGTTTGGCCAAGTGGTTTGGATTACGATTTCTAAAAGTTTGAGGAGCATCAGGATGTAAATCGATGTAAAGTCACAGTCACTACACTTTACTGTAAATCCCCTGAAGAGCTTGCAAGAGCTGTATCAAATGCAAAGATTATTATAATATTATTCGCATTCATAACATCCAGGCTTGGCTACGCAAACTTCCTGCATGTCGGCCTCCACAACTCCTCCCTCCATAGGCTTCAGATCATCCAGAACTCTGTAGCCCATGTCCTCTCCTGTACCAGGCTCCGTGACCCTATCACCCCCATCCTCGACTGACTCCACTGTCAAGGTCCTCCATGACCTTGCTCTACCCTAGTCCTGCGATCTCCTAACCCCCTAACAACCTGCCTGCTCCCTCTGCTCAGCGGGCTTCGGTCTGCTTCATGTCCTCCAACCTCGCCCACCCCACAATTAGTGGGTGGGCCTTCTGCCACTCTACGCCCCACCCTCTAGAACTCCATCCCGCAGTCCCTCCACCTTGCCGCCTTCAAGACCCGTATCAAGACCCTCCTCTTCGACTGTGCCTTTGGTCACCCTCCTTCCGCCACTCCTACACTCCACCCTCCCCGATCCCGACCCCTATCTCGGGTCTGAAACATTGATTGTCTGGTGCCTTGGGATGTCCTCCCGACGTGAAAGGTGCTATACAAATGTAATTTTGTTGTTATTATTTTATCTTTCATCAACCTTTGAGAGCTACAGTAGTGTTATTGCACACCATAAAGAATTAAAGCAGGATTTGACATATGTGCTGTCTCTTGACAGTCCTGCAGAGATACAATATGTGTTTTAGACTGTACATGTCTCACTGTTTCCTGTAATATTCAGACTCATTTATAATCAATACTGCAATTTCTCTTTTGGGAAGAAAAATGCAAAAAAAAAGCATCCTTCGATGGAGGCATCCAATCGATAAGTGACATTGCCTCTATATCTAAGTATCTCTGATATTTAACTGCAGCTTTAAAGGACCTTCAGAAGACCTCACAATATTATATGTATATTTTAACGCGTCTATTTCCCGTTCAACTCAATGCTTGATCTAATACAGGAGTGAGAGAATGTAATTGGACATGATCTAGTGCTCTGGGGCTCTACCCTGCGTGAGGAGCGTTACATAAATGTAAGTTGTTGTTTTTGATTGGCATTGTGGATAAGCAGACAGAATGGATAGATACATAGAAACAGGAGTAGTCCATTCAGCCCCTCGAGCTTGTTCCACCATTCCGTAAGATCATTGCTGATCTGTACTTTAAGTCCAATTACCCGCCCTTGCCCCATATCCCTTAATACCCTGACCTAACAGATATTCATTGGACATTGGATCATTGGACATTACGCAAAATACAAATTGGCCTTAGTGCTATCTAAAAGATTACTTCATCAGGAGTTTTACTGTCAGTGTAGAATCCTGCCTCATTTCTCTTTGCCACTTTCTCTCTGCCTCTCTCTCGTTGTGAATGTCTATGTGCTTTTCTTAGTCTCTCTCTGTCTCTCTGAGAGTCTTAATAACTTCCTAGTTCTCGTTCTCTTCATTATCTCAATTTACAGCCCAAAAATGTATACTAGAAAAATACAATGACTTATCTTTACATTTGTGTGAAGTTGCTGATATCCCAATGTGGTGGGTGGGGAGGGTCAGAGAAACCTTAAGTTACTGCACGTAACTTCACACATGCACACATACAACAGCAATTTTTGCTGGTACAACACATCCGACTTCCACTTTGAAGCCTGTGCTGATAAATGGACATGCAGATAATTGTCTTGCGGATAAATGGTGTTCATCTTTTGTCCATCAAAAAGAAAATTGATCCATAAAGAGTTAAGTCTGCATCTTCCTCATGAGGCTCACAGTTGTTTTCAGTTCAATTACGATTCATTCGATAGATGCTATTCTTTCAAGGAATAATAATCTTTGCCATTTGGTGCAACGCCTTTTACATTGGGAGCACGTCTCAAAGTGCTTTGGAGGGTTTTATTGTGAAGTGTAGTGACTATTTTGTAGGAGAACGCAAAAGCCAATTGGTGCACAGCAATGTGCAACAAACAGCCTTGAGTTGGATAACCAATTTTTGTCAGGGGGTGTGGGGGTGTGATTTATGTACATCTCTTTATTTCACTGTTTTCCCTTCTTTGGTTATCTTCCTACCGCATCGCAATCGGCAGAGAAACTACGTGAACGTATGTTGATGTTGTGAAGGGCGTGCAAGCTGCACGTTCAGGGAAGACTTTTAGGTGCTACAGATTCCAAAAAAAAGTCACTGACACGATTTGGTAGAGTTCCAGGCTTTTTTAATGTGTCGCTTGTC